CACATATTTATTGATGTTAGAAATAATTTGCAATTTAAATTAGTTTCGTTACTTAGAAAAAAAGTTTCCCTATAAATATTCAAAATGTAGAAAACAGGCAAAATAAACAAGTTCTTTAATTTTTCGTACATACAAAGTAGATATAATCCTACTTTTTTCTTCTACAAGATTTTTTCAAAATATTTATGACCTTAAATTTTGAATCAGTTGATAGACCGTTGCGCGTACTCTGTATGTTGCATCCTTTCACTTCCATAAAAAACTTATAGAACTAGATAAAGATAGTATAATGATCGTGCACTTAGGTGGGTACATGTCATTTTGGTTGACAACGTATCGCGACGACGAAAATCGTTATCGAACTGTTACCGCATCATTGGCGAAAAAAATAGGAAAGAATCTTGATCAGCTTAAATGACAATTGATACGATTATGATATGAGGCCGAGATATGACGATGAAAACACAATTATCTTCCTCGACGTATCTGACTCTACTATAATAGTAGTGATAATAAGTATCGCAGACTTCGTTAAGAATCAGAATATTTTTTTTTATTTGTCTATTGAAAGGAAAAGTTACTTCATTTTCGCTGTATTATTAATCACGTTGTGATTAATAATTTGCTTTATAAAATCCAAGCATTGTATTTGCATCATACATTTCGTGAAATTTAAGAGAACGATTTCAATCGAATTCAATGGGAATCGATGAGTTTTCCTTTTGATCTACCTGAACAAACGTTATCGCAGATTAAAAACATATTTTCTAAATAGAAGGTGAAGGTGAGTGTGCTATCGGTGATGTACAGCGAATTCCTACAAGGAGTCCCTTTTCAAGAGACTGGAATGAACTATCTTAATTGATCGTACGAACACTTGTTTTGGCGAAATCTTAGATTTCATTGCGGGAATATAAACTCACTGACTGTGATGTGGTTTTCTCAGCATGTCTCGCGAAACTATATGACCAGCAAAGTCATCTGAACAGAAATTGAAAATATATATACAGGAAAAAAAAATGAATATATATATATATATAAAAATGCCATTTATTTTCATAAAACGGCAATTTTAGAGCGTAGATGTCTTGGAAAACTGCATTGTTTATTTAAATCGTTAGCGAAAGGAATGACAGCAGTCGTAAAAAATAAAGAAAACTATACGAACATGGCAATATCTTTTGTAAATGTGAGTAACTTTTCATTTTTCTGCAGACTGTCCTATCATTTTGTTCGACGTTATATTTCTAATCTTGCAAGAAAAAATTATTTATTTTCGCTTTATGAGTATGTCGGAGATGAAATTTGAAATTTTGGGAAAATCTTCTAATACTTTAGCCTAGATTCTAGCATAGCCGTAATTAAGCGATTGTTGTCATTCAATCTGATTGTAATTATTGGAGATTTGTGATAGTGAGATTGGGCTCGGAGGCGACGCAACTGGTCGCCAAACGCAGCCACGGTCATGGGATGGACGTTTTGCCTGACGGAGGTGTGGAATGGTTGTATGGTTCTCCCTAGAAATGTGGCTGTGGCGACATATGGTCTCAAGGATCGGCCTGGCTACGTGTGATTTTATCTCGGAGGTGTCAATATAATGGGACACACGTTGTATTAATAATCAAACTCCAGGCAGAAACTGCCTAGCAACGGCGATTGGAACTTTCTCGATGCTCCTAAAGAATATTTAACAAACGAACACAATTGTAAGAGAGGAAGATTTTCATCAGTTTGTTATTCGTGCGATCGCCTTGGAAAGTTACACATCGAGCAGTTTATACCGAGCGTCTCAACAATCGTACTTCATGCTTAAAAAGTATTCTACGCTTAATAAAGAGTTATCCCGTTGACCGTGGATTCGCTATCGAACCCAAGAACATTGTCAATTGCATCTTGCGTGTCTAAACACCATGGTTGTTCGTTAAACTTTGTAAAAGTCATTTTTTTGTACCTGTAAATGTAATCTTTATTGTACAAAACTAATGGCTAATTCAAATGAAGAATTGTTACGCGCCTTAAATTCTAACGATAACCCGACAAGTGTATAGCGATATGTTAAAAACTAGTTGTTAATGAAATATGTTTCTATATCTTCGTTTGTTATTCAATAAAATTCTTCGAATTTGTGGCACGCGGTATTTTCCTGTACGGGAGTGCAGTACTGCTTAGCCAAGTTAAACCAGTTGCAGATCTGTCACGTGGAGCCGCATCTTCTGCTAGTGCTTCCATAAAATTCTTCGAAGATCACTCAGTCTTTATGAAATAACGCTTCAGTTACTTCTGGTAAGTCATCTATTCCAACTTTCGATATAGTTCCGCTATAATCGTTATAAAAAAATCCTGCTATAAAGTTTGTGAGTTTCAAACAGAGTGTTTCATTTTATGGTGTCTGTCGTTAGCTAAATAAATCTCTTTACAGTGACTTTGATGTGATTAGTAAGTGTAATTAAAAAGAAATGAAAGAGATCGTGTGATATACATATGTTTTAATCTAATAACGAAATATAAAAAGTGACTCATACGTATTTTTTACTTGGTTTCTTTCTCGGTACACGTCTCGCTAAACAAGTTTACCTTGAAACAAATTGAAAAATTGAAAGGCAAGTTCATGATAAACCTTCCCATACAAGGGCGTAACGTTAAAAGTCAATGACGCCAACATCGTTGGGTTATCGTACGATTATTCTTCTTTGTGGAATTGTGGAATTTGAGAGACTCAGAAATAAAATTTTCTTACATGTTCTCCTTCATACACGTATACAGTATACAGTAACTCGCACAGGACATAGACACCAATGTGTTCGAGAAATTATTGCTCTATACGTATATTTATCTATAATAATATTATTGCATTAATTGTTTTTAAATATGTTAGAACACTTATTGCGATTGGCAGAAATATAAATTTTGCTTCTTTAATACACATAGCCTTTTTGTATAATACGTATATATTAACACATCATTGTCACAAGTCATAAAAATATGGTTTTTGTTGACTGCTTGTAAAATGCCGGAGACACATAAATAGGGCGTTCAAGCACTGCGGTTATACCCAATCTGTAATCATACTCAACGTATAATTTTATTCATGAAAAAACATATGGTTGAAAAAATTGAAGGTAATAGGAAAATATATGCTCAAGATGCCAATGCAGTAAACACAATAAACGATTTACATTTGCTTACATTGTAACCTACGCAGTTCTTCGGGGAGACACGTGCATCGAAAAATATCAAAGAGTAAGAATTGATTAGTATCGAAATGAAATATATGTATTTTGTTTAAAATAAAAAATTCGATCGTTCGATCATTTATTTGTATAATTGAATTTGAATAAGATCTTCCTCGAATGGAGCAAGTATCTTATAAATTAATTGTAAAATAATTACTATGCAGAGTTTCGATTTCAAATTTCATAAAAAAATGTCCGATGTTTTAAAAGTTACAAACATTGTTGTAATATTATCCGATATAGATGAAAACTTCAAAATAAACCAGTTCCCTCGCGGATTTATACGCGGAAGATAATACGAGTCATTGTATCTCAGATTCTTTTGGTGTATTTTTCAAGAATACTTTCTAAAGGCTAACTGTTACAACTTTCAAAGTTCAAACATAAAATGTCAAAGTAAAAGATTCAATTTCTAATTTAATGGGTTCAAAAGTTTAAACATTTAAATCTGAAGCTGCATGATGTATACTTTCTTATTAAAATGCGCTCTTACTATCTTTTTACGCAAATATTTCCGATTTCTTTCACATCCTAAAGTGTCCCATTTTTTTTCAAAATGCCGAATCACGTTTCTCCAGTTTCTCATTTTAATCTATCGAACACAACCAACACTGAACAAGGATCTGGTTTCAGTTCACCTTAACTACCGCTTCCTTCTTTCTCGATCGCTGACTTTTAACACAAAAAGAAAAAGAGAAATAACAATAATTCGTAACGGACTAGCTGTTTCATGAATAAAGAGAGAAAATCAGTCGCGGGACACCCGGAAGAAATTTAACTAGACATGCAATTATTCTGGTACGTGGGCTATGGTTAGTTAAATTCTGTATCTATATGCGATCATTCAGACCCAGTACACTCTTTCACGTAATATCTGTTACATAATGTGTGCAGACTTTTCCTGTTTTTGATTTACAATTCTATATGTATATCATGATAGCTGTCTACTACGTAGCTTAGCAGTTATCGATGCAGGCTGTTACTATTACAATCAAAAGAGAGGGACGGAGAACCGTTGTTCTATGCAATATCTTGCACGCTTTATGCGCTTTTATATTTCATAAAAGGCCATTGTTTTCTCCTGTTTAATAAACATGACGACGTACGTATATAAATTGCTGGAAGAAAATAAAATAAATGGACTTGGAATTTATTTTAGTATTTAATTTGTATTTATAAAAATTGATTTGCTAATATATAGTATCTAAACTATATTAGTATATAAATATATTAACAACACCATTTGTTTAAAAATAGTAATACAATTTATTATGATATTATTAACAATACTACAAAATAATGTTGTAAATAAGTACATGTATGCAAATGTAAAAATGTACGTAAATGATGCCTATTTTAATGAAATTCGTAATTTTCTCGATGACGAAAGATTGAAGTATTGATAAGCGAGAAATAACATGCATATGGATTTATTACGTAAGTCTGCTTGTAAAACGTGATAATATTTGTACTAGATTAGTTCCAGATAGATAGAATTAATACGAGATAACAAATAGTTTCAGAATGATGGAATTCTAAAGAAGACAATAAAAGGCGAATTATCACAAATAATCCAGTCGCTTTTCTGCGACTTATCATATACCAGCATTATCATATATCAAACGAAACTACACTATTACGATTTAACACTCCGGTTCGCATGTTCGATTATGCGGATAAAATGATTTGAAAAAGAAAAGTGTAGAAGCCGGCACGATAGTGTTCAAGCGATCTACAAGCTCAACAAGGGGGGATAAGAGGTTCATAAGGAGCTCGAGTTGGTAGGCTGGCCAGTGATATTAAGCTACACATCAAACTTCAACCATAAAATCGGCCATACGGCGATGGGGTTTCGACGTCATTTCACCAGTTACTAATTGCCCCATTACGCAATGTTGATACACTTTCGCTATATTATTGGATACCAATACTTCCGGATATAATTAGTATACTACGGTACACGAGGCTCCCGTACGATAGCGCGTCATTTGTAGAATATTCTGGAATTGACGCGGAGCTCTCTGGCGTTTCCTCTTTCGTCATGAAATTTGTTCATATACCTATCTTTTTAATTTTCCGATACTGAATCCCCTGACTTTAACATTCTTTTTTTTATCGTATCGTATCTTTCAGAATTTATTTCGTTGATTAAATTATCATAAATTTTCAATTTTAAATTTGCATAAATTTTAAATACTCGATTGCATCACTAGTTAATGATTAGGAGAACGGTTAATCGTTAAAATAAAAAGGAAGTGTTTCTTATGAAATAATTTAGTACACAATTTGCATCGAACGAAAAGTATTGGCATTTCCTACATTTTCATGCTGATCTCTACTAATTTTAATTTCTTTTCCCTTTCAGTGCAATGCATCCCATAAAAGACGAGATGGCGATCGTGGGCTCAAGAATACCGTACTCTTCGTTCACCATTTGGCTCTTTCTCAGCATCGAATTCGTAATTACCATGTTGTTATCTATCTTTCTGAGAATCCTTAAGATATTCAAATCACTGCTGCCGGAACCACCGAGAGATTTGTCTGGAGACGTGGTTTTGGTAAGAATGCAAGGCATCTCTCGTGATCTTTCAGAATACACGCTTGAAATTAAACGTTTCGAAAGTTGAACTTTTTAACGAAAGATCGCAAACCTCAAATTTTGAAGCTTAACGCGAAATTCGAAAGTTGACATTTACCGAACGATCGTGCTCTGATGGAAAATAAATTTTTTAATAGTCTTATGTATGACTTTATGTTCTTCAGGTGGCCGGTGCTACTTCCTCTTTAGGCAGATCTCTCGCGGCTGAATTCGTGAAAAGCGGGTGCTCCGTTATTTGCGTGGATAACGATCACAAGTTAATCGAGGAAACAGCATCGAGATTGAAACGACAGCATCTCACCACCGACGAAACCAAGCCGAGGCACAGAGAGAACGATTCTTCACGATGCAGCTCGACTATATCTGCTTACGAGTGCGATTTCTCAAATAGAGATGCCATTAAGAGAACAGCTCAAAAAGTGAAAGACGATATCGGAAAGATCAACACTTTAGTGACCTGCATTGACAATTCGAACGGGGACGTCTTCGACACGACCAGCAAGACTTTAATGACTCATTTTTGGGTATATAAACTTGTCTTTCTGATTGTTTCTCTTTGTTTCTCTTTGTTGGAACCTTTTAAAGAATACGATCAATGGACACATTAATCTTCATTCACAATTTTAATTTTCACCTCACAATTAATTTTTTTCAGGCAATTAAGAATCGTTAAAAGGAAGGATTGAAATCAATTTATAATTTTATTTATTATTGCTGGGTAGAGTTGTTTATTAATTATCGTTGAATTTGTTAGCGATTATTATAAGAAACGTTAATGACCTTGTGGATGATGAGTACAATTTTATTTATAGGATAGAAAGACAGAATTATGTAAAATATCGAAGAAGATGATGGAATTAGCAGGGTATTATAAATTTATAAATTTTTTTAAATAGCCTCTTAATCTAATTTCGTTAAAAAATGACACGATCGTTCAAATAGTAAAAACGTTTATATTCGGTTCTAACGTGGATGTAAGGAATATATGTTAAGGTATTTCTTCCATTGCATTTACAGACAGTCCTCGCGTTTCTTCCAATGATATTGGATCAAAAACGAGCCTATATAATTGGAGTGACCCCAATCGCATCGAATAACGACTCTTATCATGGTTCCAAGGCAGCTGTGATGAGTAAGCATCTTTGAATATTATTGACACTACTAATTTACTAATAATTAATAATTTAATAATTAATAATTCATTAATAATTAATCTAATTATTGATGTAGGTTTCATGGAATGCATGTGTCAAGAATTGAACCACCATAGTAACGATTTAACATTTTTGGCATTCTCTCCAATTAGAGAATGCAGGTAATGGTACTTCAAACATTTAGATAAAAATAATAATCGGAATATTCAGCGTCTTTCATAGAAAGACTGCTTCTTCGAGTTACTTGGGCAAATATTTCTTCAATCGAAAAAATGTAGACCGTCTACAAGACTTCTCCACGTACAGTGATTCCTATTAATATTCGAACAGTGTTTATAGTATGCGAATATTAATAAGAGTCGCTGTATGTAAATTCCTTTTTTTGGGTCAAATTAATTGGATTTCTGTGACTGTCACAGTACGTTGAAAGAGAATGAAGAACGAGTGGCCAAGAACATCGTGAAAGCAGTACGGACCAATCAGTATAATATGAGCGTCAGCTGGATATCCAAATCGCTGTATCACATAAGGTATTAAAAGATAAATACAGAGTAAAAAGTAATTTTTATCATTCTAGAAAAAAGGTGGACAATTTTTGAGTAATTTCAATCTATTAATTTTCTCAAATCTTTCTTCTGCGATCTATTTGATAAATAAATATTGACATCAAATTCGAAGATCTCCTATATAAAACAAACTCGGTTCCTTATTTGCCTGTTTTATTTTCCAGTTGTATGATCTACAACGGAATAACCTTGCTCACAGAGTGGACCCATTTTCATGGATGCGATTATCACGCGTAAATATGAGACCTCTCTCGTTTCACGCTCGACAGAATCATTAAAAGAAGGATGTCTAGAAATCGCAATACCACGATCTACGATGTTCCAAGGACAGCCTCGGAAGTTCTTTTAATAATTAAAAGAAAAGCAAAGCGCATCCGTACAAAATGATATTTTATTTTAGTCGCTCACGTATCGTCCGACAATTGAAAAGTCTACACAATAGAAGGAAGAGAACATCCAAATAGCGACGCAAAGTTTAAAGAATAATCAACGATAATTACAAAGTTTCCATATACGAGAGATATAGTACAAATTATATACGCATTAGAAAAGAAAAAAATAACGTGTTTATTATTTTTAAGTATACGGTTGTTTTTGCTTGAAAATTCGTTCGTCAATCAGGAACTAGCACGTCGTAATGACCGCTGTCCGAATTACCGGTGAATAACAGTCTAGCTGTAGGGTACTGCGAGCTCACATGATTGTGAAATACTCGTTTAAGTTCGGGTCTGTCTTTGATCTCTCGATAGATCGACAGATTCATGTTATACATCTTGGTGGCGACCGTGCATTCGAGTTCACTGGCGAACGTGCCCACCATGTCCATGTAATTTTCGTAAGTTTGCCGATCCGATATGTTCCACTCGGCCATCACGAAAGGCCCGTACTCGTGCCAATTTTCCTTGATGTGTTGCACAACCTGTCGAACAAGATTTCTATCGTTCGTAGAAATAAAAGGCGCGAAGGGCATGCGATGAAAAGACTTAATTCTTCTTTGAAATCGAACGAAAAATTCTTTCGCTTAATTACAATTCTTCTTTTAAGATGAAAAGGAAGCATTAAAGCGATTTAGAGATTCATAAGATTCTATGGGATAGTTTCTAAATTAGAAATTTTGTTAAGATAAGAAGGTATATAGTAACTGATAGATATAAGATATAGATTGCTTGAAATAAATGGAGGATCTTTTGTTCGTCCAAAGAGTTTCCATCGTTTTATCAAATACGGATCAAATTTGATTTTCCTTCGATGCGTTAAATATTAAACTTTGGTTCTTCTGTAGAACATTTTTATACATTTTCTAATATTCTTTCTATACAGTCTTTGATTATTTCAAGCAATTTATTTTGCCGTACTATAGATCTTTTTCGTAGTTTGCCCGAAAGAATCGCATAAACGGAAACGAAGCGCACCATTGATCGCAGATACCGATGCTCGTCCTCGTTTTGCCATAAAATGTAGCTAATCGCCCGAAACATGCAATTACCATCGCCGTAAATGTTTTGCACGCGAAACGTGCCTTCAGCGCACCTTAAACGAGCCGTATCTGTAACATAAAGATCGTCATTTATATTTTATTACCACTAAGTGCAACATTAAATCTCGCACGCACGTCGATTTACGTTTTAAATCCTCTTAAAACAATAGTAAGTTCTATTACGAAGGTGTACCTCTTTTAAAAAAGATAGAACGCCTGTTTTTATCTCTTTTAACACGTGTATGTGAACAAAATTGTTCACAGGGGATCCAATTAGTTTGTCGATTCCAAACAGAGTTCGTTCGTCGAATATCGGAAGCGTGGATGTAGAAGTCTCCGCGGTCCAGGTGCAGTTCGTGTCCGAATCGATTATATCTTTTCGCATTCTTAAGCAGCGACGAGCGATGTACGCACTTGTCTATTAATAAAACGTGCAAACAGATAATCGATGGCTGTTTTTATAAATAGAGTACTAAAAGTATCAAACAAAAATATAGCCTATTTCGAATATAGCTTCTGTAAAGTTGCTTATGTCGACTCTCTGTCCGTGCGAATATTTTATATTAATTATTTTTGAATATTAAAAATGTCGCATAAATTATCGATTATTATTTATGAAAGGTTACTCTGCGTGTTTTCCCATCTTCTTCGAGTTTCATCGATACTTTTTTTTTTTTTTTTTCTTTAACGAGATAAAAGGAATTCTTCGTTTGAAAAAAAATTGTAAAGATCGGCGCGTGCTGTTGAAAGCAGAATTATTATCGGTATTTTATCCTTCTTCTACTTTTACCTTCTTCAAAGATGTGGCTACAGAAAAGGAAACACCAGAGGCAAGGCAAGAGGAACGCCTTTAAAAATTTTAATACGTGGACTTTAGTGACGTCCAGTTTAGGTATCCTTCTACAACGACAGTATTCGTAAGCCACATTTTTAACTAATTTAATAGTTTAAATCAGGAACAGGTTTGATATTTCGCCTTTTTCCCCTCTTTTTCTCTCCTTTCTTTTTCTTCTTTTTTTTTTTTTTTTTTTACTTAATATCGAATTTATTCATATGCAGATTAATTTATACAGACATAATTTCGTTTATCGACATTAACATTTTAAAAGATTTGACGGGAAGTTCGATCTTCTAATGTCTTCCTTAGTTTGTAATGGGATTACGTTCGCTCGTAGCGTTTTATACATTGGAAAATCAATTTTTAACATATATAAATCAAGAGTACGATAATATCATGTGCTGTAAACGTATCTTCGTTTTAATTATTTCTATAAATTAATGATTTAGAATTTTTATTTTCCTATTCTTTATTACTACAGTTCTTTTTCTATTATTTCGCGATCGACAAGATTACTTAATTAAAATTGATAAATTGATAAATGTGAAAGAATTATATAAAGTATTATATGATATTTAAGATTGTAAATTAAAGATTATGTCTTTTGAAATAATTTGTAATGATCGTTGAACAGATTATTTCAATAACTTATTAAATATTACAAATTTTTTAAATTCCCTCGTTTCATGGGTCACGAAAAACTACCGCCACATAGCGATGAAAAGGTGGAACTAATTATCAGGTGGTAAAATTAACAAATTTAAATTTCTCGGCTACTGGGTTCAATGCTTTAATTTTTGAGAACGTACATGTAGATTTAGAACCTAACGATGTAATTGAAATCAGTTTCTTCTAAATATTCCCCTTCATAGTTATAAGCAATTTTAAAAAATCGTTTATTTTATGGACCATGGAACGCTATAACCATCTAGCCTCGAAATCGGGAAGTTCGGATTTCTTAATTTTACCTCCTGTCGATTAGTTTCATCTATTCCCTGTTAGATGACAGTAGTGCCACATTGTCTATCGACAAAATGATTTTCTAAAATTGCTTATAATTGGGAAACTAGACATACTTAAAAAAACTAATTTTAAACAAAAACATTCGTTTGAAACGTCAAAAGTTAAAAAATTCTGTCTCGGAACTGAGAAGTTGGATTTCTTAATTTTACCTCCTGTCGATAAGTTTCACCTATTCACCGCTAGATGGGTGTAGCGTTTCGGGGTCCATGAAACGAGCAAATTTCAAAAATTCTTAACGTTTTTACGTTCTTATGCTTTTTCTCTAATAGCTTCACGATTTCTGTATGTACGTTCTTAATAAAAAAAAACTTTTAATATCGGATGCGTATAATAAAATTGATATTAAATTTCTCTCGTATATTATATTTCCTTTCATTTCTTTCAGTACTCATTCAATTATGATTCTGTGCTCCTGTTATCTTGGAAGCTTTTTAATAAAAATTTATAATCTAAGCTGAGTAAACAAGAGACTATCCAGGAATAATATATAAATATGTAAAGTTATTTAATATTTGATAAAAAACTTTATTTATTCATTTGGTACAAAATAAATTGTGTTACAATTTATAATAATACATTTTAATATTATTTATGAACATAATGAATACTATTTACGTTTATAAAGATAATTAAGAAAATTTTACAAGACTTTTACATATCTAAAACTTTCCATTGCCTTTATTCAGATATGTGTTTAAAGAAGATATACGTACAAGATAGGAAATGAATGTAAAAAAGGGATCAAAAACTGACCTAGAACGCAATGTATGTAAAGAAGCGGTAGGTAGAGAGGAATACAAAGAGCGGAAAACAGGGGAAATAAAGGAGAATGACCTGACAAGACGAAAAAGGATCGAACCCGTTGCAGGCAACAAAAATGTGGCACTAAGCTTTAAAATAAGCAAGTAAATGCAACACTATTTCGCTGCTCATCCGTTTCAAATAGAATTTCATACTTTAAAAATTATTAATTGTAAAACTATATAAATTATATATCTACTTATAAGGACAAAAATCCCGCTTGCTGCAAATATTTTATTAAAATTAAAAATGCGTCATTTTTATTTCACCTATCAGCATAATGTATACTATATAAACACGTAATACATATTGCGCGTGTCACCATTCACAAACACCGAAATTCACAATGCATTCCGTAGATGGTAGAACAAAAACACAATACGCTCTTCTATACGCTATAGTCTACTCAATTAAATCGTTCCATTCTAAGGAGAACTTTTAAATACATACATACATAGCTTCTTCCGCCTTTAATGCGTAGCACTTCCGCAATTAGAATTCTTGATTTACCCGTGAACTATGTAAAAAGAAAACTCATGTTCGCTAACTTCGAGTAACATCTAAAAATAAGTGAATTAATTCTTTATTAATTCCTCTGTTAATTCCTATCAAGCAGATTTCTGATTAAACTCTTTCATAGAGCGTAGAAGTCCCGCTAATTATAATCGGGATATATATATTTGCAACGTAATACATACATATTTACAATTTGTTGTTTCAGAAGAACCGTTTCACAGAGATTTTGTGTGCCACCTCCTTACACATCATATTCTACTAATACAAATCCCCAATTTGGGGCCAAAAATTCCTGTCGATTCCTAAAGAAGGATTCATAATTTGTAAAGAATTGCTTAGTTCTACATAACAGTTTAAAATTAAACAAAACTGTATGTATTTGTACTTACGTATTGCCACTACCAATTGTACTGGCAGAGAGTAACAAAGTAGGAAAAGCGTAGCGATATCGTCGTTCCAATAGAACGGAACTAGCTCGAGTAGACCGTAGTCAAGTTGCTTGGCTACAAAATCGTGTTCGTATATACGTCGGTGCATGTCACTTGCACCAGTCGGTCGCAAGAAAGGGACGGAACAAGTGCCAAGGAAACATGGCGACGCATTGGAACGTGCCACAGTAATGCAGCTAACGTGCAACGAGATCGTTTCTATCGAGTGATCAAAGATACCCGTGGCCTCGCACGCGAAAACATCTATCTGGCCAAATGACATGGGAATTTGTAATCGAAGGCACTTCCTGCTGACAATATGCACCTTGCAACTCGTGAGTTTCTTCGATGGAAAAATGTTTTTGTCCTCTCATAGAGAAAATTATCGTCATCCTGTGACACACGTAATTCGTATTTCTCTAGCACTGAGTCACTGCGTGGTATTCTTATGAGAAGACTCTGATTATTGGACAGATATTAATCATCGAGTATTTTTTAAATAAAAATAAAGAGTTTAAAGAGTTTGATCTATGGATTGTTGCATTGATATAAACTGTAAACGATTCGAAATGTTTTATCGACGATATCATGGCTCGATGAAACATAGGCACATGCTTGATTATCGCATCGCTTTATCGATCTATAGATCGCATGGTTTATCTCCGCGGAATAAAGATCTCCGTGTAGAAACTGACCGATCCATTTAACATCGCTTTTACTACTTTCTAAGCGCTTTCTTGTCGACTCGCATCGATACCGATACAGAGTTCTACATTGCACTACAGAGATGTTTTTGCTAATTGAAAAATGCAGTAAGTGCATATGAAATAGGATAACTTAACAAAATCGGTTAATTCAATATCGTGTTAATTGATGCAATATCGATTAATTGAGCTTTAAAGGATTTAAAATGGAATATGATAAAAGTAAAAATACAATGGGATGTTATTTAAAGCAAGTATCTTAGTTGAAAGCAAAAAATATGTTAAATGGTTCATGAACACTGGCTCGCATTTGATCCATCGGATTAATTGGGTATTTAGAACACAGAGCAATTGGTGCAAATTAAGATTGTAGACAAAAAGGAGTTGGTAGAAATGAAAGAAATTAATCTTTTAAGATTCAGACATATTCTACTCAGACTCTTTGTTGATTTATTGAATTTAATTGGAATTATTTCATTTTTGCTTGTAGATCACTACGGTAGAGCGCCAGGTCTTCGACTTCCTGGGCTTTATGTGGGCCCCGATACTGGTCAATTTTTTCAACATTATATTTGTAATCTTAGGGTTTTTCGGAGCTTTTCAATATAGACCTAAATATATCATATCAGTAAGTACAATCTCTTCATTTTACTTTAATATATTTTTATATACATATTTATTATAAACAGAAATAATTGTTTGTATACTAAATTTATTTTAGTATTGTATATGGAATACACTATGGTTAGGGTGGAATATATTCATGATATGTTTCTACCTCGATGTTGGTGTACTTGACAAAGTAAGTACTCCTTTTTGAGTAATTTTTTTTCATAATTTTAATTGATTTTTAATCACAATTAATTTTTTAGAATAGTGATATTTTAAATCTTGGTACTGGTAGTTTTTCCTGGTGGCATGTCAATGGACCAGGTTGTAAAGCTATTTATGATGTTACTGAACCAGAATTATTCAGACCTGCCCGACCTACAAACGTGACAGATTGTGTGCTAGATTATGAAGTAGTTGAAATTTTACATGCATCTACTCAATGTATCTTAGGTGTAAGTACCATTAAGTTTCACTATTTAGTAAAAGTGCACTAATTACAATATTTAAAGTAATATTTCTTTTGTTTTAGTTTATTGCAATAGTAGGTGGTATTTGTCTAAGTAAGGTTTTCCTGGAGGAAGATGATAGCTGTAAGTATAAAACTCAAGAATTTCTGTTTTGATTAATGCCAGTGTCAGATTAGCATAAGAATTAGTTTGCAGAGTGAAATTATTTTCTATTTTATCCTGGGATATTATTTGGTCGTAAATTTAGGTAATATTTTTTCCTGATATCGGTAAACAAGATCTAGGAAAAATTTTCAAAATTTAATTTTTTATTTTTATACAGTCAAAAAACTAAAACGTGCAATGATAAATCTTTTTATAATACAGAATAACATGTTTCGCTACAGAAAAAGATTGTGCCAGCCATTCTGGATATTTCTTTTTTAATGATATAAATTTAAGATTTATTATTGCTTGAAAAGAGGGTTGTCGGTTACAGTTGATTTCATTGGTGGATTTGATCCTCCACTTTGGTAAGTGCTTTGCCTGATTCATGGTTTGCACGCATTTGCTCCTTTTGTAAAGCACGAAGTAAAATGGTTTCTCTCATGCACATCATTACTCATCGATTCTCTTGCGAATGTTCAATGTACTGTGAAATAACATCTTTGAAGCTTGAATATTACGCGAATTTATTTTTCGATCTCTGATACAACATGTATTGCAAACGTATAAACTGTTGTGAAATTGGCTATATTCGAATGAGTCTCATATACCATCTAATTTAATTTTAATCAAAAAGAATCACTACCTTCACGTCACAAACACAATAAAATTCGATCTAATGCAATCGATTCTACGTCATATTTCAGTTGACTTTGTGGGAGGTGATGACTTTGGGTTGGCAGGCCACACGCCGTTACATCCTATGTACGTTAGCTACTCGGCTCTTCCATCACCTGCCCACCCTCACAAAAATTCCGCTCAAAATTACCCCGCAGGCACAGCTAGCTCTCATCAATCAGTTTGTCACGATACCAGCTTCCCAAAACATAACGATAAAACATTTAACAGCTCTGGACGAAGTAAATGTAGCTTCAGAAATGACACGATCAGAACTGAACGAAGCAATCTATCCAGTCGCGACTTAAAGTATGTTGATTACTCTAACGACTATTCGAATCCGTTGGATCATTTACAGAGGCCTGTATCCCCATACGACGAATACGATTCATTGGACAGTGCCGCTAAATTGAAGTATCAAAAGAACAAATTGTACCATCCGCACTCGTCCAAATATAGTCCCGTTGCATCTCCGCGTGTCAAATGTCGACCTGTTGCAGCAAAGCAAAATAAAGCCCCCAACAAGCCTAGAGTCTTTACCGACCACGTTCGCGAACAGTCAATGCGGTCGTTTTACTCAGATCCAAGATTGGCAATTGAGAATCAACAGAACGTGACTGACCAAGAGAAACAGAATAGGTCTAAAAGAGATAGTAGACCTCTGTCGTTGTATGCCAGTAATTTTTAAATTGTTAGAAATTAGAAAAATATATATAGAGTTTATTTCTTTCTAACTTAATCCATTCGAGGTCGGGATCTCATTTGAAGAGGATCCTGAGAAATCTAATACTATTTTTAATATCTCAGCAGAACAGTGAACCACTTTTTTATTTAAACCGATAATGATGTAAATGTTTCACCCATTTCTTTTTATACTATTTGACTTTTGTATAGTGTTTCCTGAAGATTTCTAAATTATTGATTTGCTTAAAATTCTTTTTAAGAGAGTTTGCGTTGGATTAATAGTATAGGGTGCATACAGTGCATCGTCGACCTCGAATTGATTAAAACAGCATATGGACTGAAGTGAAATGTATTTTAATGCTATTTTGTAGAGAATTCGAAGGTGTTACATAGAATTCCTATCCTTGCCAAATAGATAGAACGATTAGAGAGTAGCTAGCTTAGGGTGCCTTCTCCGATTGATTTCTTCTTGTTAGTCTAGAAAGAATATCTTTTTCTTTCCTAAATCAGTTTTTTAACATCACAGTAACAGGTTAATAATTTCTACTACGTCTTTAAAGTATTTCGACTGATAACGCAGAATAGACAATGTGTGTTCAGTAGCATCGTTTGCTTTTTTTACGAAGATTTTTATTTACATTTGCTCATAGATATTTTCATATATACGATTCATGTTGGATTAGACAACCATGCATTATTATATTAATGCATACACTGTGATACGTATAGAACTATGAATCATGTTGGTTGAAAATGTTTATTCGATCTTTTTATTATCGAACTTGTAACTTTAAGAAGCTATGCTTGATAGATGAGCTTTCATAATATACGAGACAAAATAACGTTGCATCTGAAAGGGAACGAAGAGTACAGCATGAATGGAAGAAACGCTATATGTAAACATTCACTAATGTATAGGATTATTTATATATTTTTTTTCCTTTTTGTTATACGAATAGTACTTATTAAGAATTCCCTTGATGACACGCGTGGCCTGGCTTACAACATAGCATTATGATAGAGACCTTTAGACTGCATTGAAATTAGCTTATTGTATCATGATGGTGAAGAACTTGTGTTTATAAGGTGCTGCGAAACACTTTTTCATTTTAATGAAACGTGTATGAGTATTTGGTAGTGCATGCTAATACTTGTTTACGGTCCTTAAGTTCGATAGAATATTTTATTTTATATTCTTCTTTTTTAAACAACGATGAAGCTACATTTTGCATATCTATGTAGATGAAAGTATACAGATAATCGAAATTTGTAAGATATCATATACACAGACTCCCTCATAAATTTTTACTAAATTAGTACTTTTGACATTCCATGGATCAATCAATCAAAGAATGTCTAATAATATGTCGAAGCTAAAAAGAAAAATCTGAAGTGACGAAGATGCTGTTCTTATTATAGACTTCTGTGCATCTTAATTACACAGAATGTTCTGTGAGTTGCAGATCAAGGCTCGTTGAAATAGTAGTCCAATCATAAGTGTGATGAGTAAACAACATTCAAAGAATCATCAGGTATTTAACAACTAAACTTATATTCTAGAGTCGAAGATTGATTTAATTAAGATATAAAATTTCATTAAAGAAAAAAGAAAGATATACAAATTGCTTACTCACCAAGAATTGGTTTCTTCAGATGGCACGAATATAAATCATGAATAGGCACGAAGATATCACTGTTTCCACTGTTCTGATAAACAGTTGGTTAATTTGCCAACAATCAAAATCGCACAATAATCGATCAATGAACATTTAATGCAATCCGATAATAGACAATACTTATAATGCAATGCTTATTGAGCTATGCATATACAAATGCACTGAAGAAACGGTAGAGTTACGTTTTGCAGTGATTAATTGATGCTGATAGTTATATAATTTTCAATGTTAAGTATCTACATTCAGGTATACACCTATTCTAAACATCTGTCACAGTCACAATGAAATAGCTCTATACAATAATGAGTTGTTTTTCTCATCACATCTCATTGGACTTAAAGCTGACCTTGTTCACGACTCACGATACTGCCTGTGCGTTACTTAAGATATATTACTTTAAGTTTAATTCTTATTGAATAACTTTGCAAACATTGCATACAATATTATTCGCACAATTATATGATTACTCATCTATTATATTTTAACTCAGACATACTTGACTTAATGAATTTTGCAAGTAAATTGCTCACTAAATGTATACTGTACATATATATAATTACGTTTACGTATTTTACGTAATTTATTTATAAGAGTAATAAAACGTTTCACATTATGCACTGGAGGATTTAGCCGAATATTTAATATTAACGAGTCACTTCAGATTCAACGTTGAAACGTTTGTTCGTAGTACAATCGAAGATTCTTTTATCTTTCCCTTCTTTTGTCGAAAGCTTGTACAGTAGTGTCGTTCTGTACTCCGTTTAAGGCCGTAGATTTTAATTTTATAGTATAATTTATTTTACTGTATCATATAATTTACTTTTGGTGCAGTTTACTGGCGACAATAAACGTGCAATGCCTACTACTTGCTTGCTTTTTTATTTATTAACCCCCATTCTTTTCTTTCACTCCTTCTCTAACATTCTCCTATTCTTCTGTGGGTTTTCGGGGAACTATTTTATTTTATTGTATTTTTTTTCATTCTCGATGTTTTTGTCTTTCAGTCAGTACTTTCCTACTAGATTACTGCAATCTAAAATCTTTACACGATAATTTACCATTTGGTTAGACGAATAAATGACAATTTTAGACTAGGTCTGACTGATCCTTTAAAAAAGAGTCTAACTAATTCAATTACTCAAGATCACGTGAAAGTCGCATCATCGTTTGAAAATTTAGAAAAGAAATGAACATTGATCAGCCATCGAATCGCGTTGGGAGCGTGTTTCTCGCTGTGCATGTAATAATTCAACCACTTCGATTGTTTTTCTCATTCATACAGTTGAAGATTTGTATTGATACTTCGATAACACGCAACTACATTTGTCACTTGACTCAAAAGTGTGTGTTTAACTTTGCAGTTTGTGCTTGGTATACAAATCCAAATATAAAAATCTTAGAAAATATTACTACTTTCTAATCTTCGTTCCAAAAATGAAGGTCCGACGTGATCTATAAGAAATTTCGTTCAAATGTGGTGTAAGAATCGTAAAAAATTTAATACCTAAACTTTATAGTAATTTTTTAATCACTTATTACTTCGAGATTCACCTATCTATTTAATATTCCATTTTTAGATTTCAAATTTCATCCAAAATCACCGCAACTATCTACATTCAGAATTATTGCAGAACCAATCTGCGATATTAATTCGTCAGTATCCAAGCGCAAACTGAATAATTACCTTAACAGAACACCTACTGACAAGATTTTTGTTTGTTTCCAACGCAGCCCAAGCTAAGCGGAAGAAAAAGCAACCGCGGCCTCTGTACAGCATCGAGTACTCTCAGCCAGAGCCCACGGTTCACGACGACAGCGTGTCTCCAAAGCCAATGACTCCACGCAGAGTGAAAAGAAGATCTGTGATCTCTCGTGACGGGACAAGAAGATCCAGCAGAAGGAGTTCTATAAGGCAGTCACGCAGAAAGAATCCCGTGAACAGAATCATGGATCATCAGGAAAGTCTATACGCTAATACAACGCCCAGCAATCTTACCAATCAAAATGTGAATTCATTGTCTCAAGGCACGCTCAACTATGATAGAATCTCGATGAGTTGGGACAGAGATAGGAACTCCAACTGGCAGCCGGAAGCTGTAAATATGGCTGTGTCTTCTCCTACCTTATGGAACCAAGATTCTTCTAACAATTACTCTAACACTAGCAATTATACGAATCAGAGTTACCCTAATTGGGATGCTAGCAACTCTACCAGAAATCTTACTGATAATTGGCAACCAAACGAATTGAGCCCAATGCAGTGGCAAGGTCAGAGTAACCCAACTTTTCAACAAACTAGTACGCAAAGCTTAAACGGGGAAGATTTGGATGAGATCTATAATAATCGACCAGCTAGTGCTAGGTCGAGTTATAGCAATTATCATGGAGTGAGAGCTACACCTCAGGTTCCCAACAGAACAGATATTGTTAGGCAGAGCCAGAGGCAATTTGTTCTCAGTGGACCTCCTGCTTATCAGGATACGGTAATCTGAGAAGTCTGGGGGGAGGTGGTTGGAAACCTGCGTTTGGTGGATGTTTAGTTGGTTAAGGGAATAGTTTGATGGTAATATCGTTTAATGTGTAATTTTTCAAATTGTGATAGTTTTAATGTAATTATGGAATTCTGTAATTCTCTATTGAGAAACTAAAGTATTTTTAATCGTATAGATCTGTTTAGAGGAACTTGTAGAGGATCGAGATCTAGAACCATTGTACTTAATTTTATTAATTTTTATTTTAATTTCAATTTTAAAGGGAATTGATACTAAACGTCCAATACGAACATAGGTTTATTTTTTGATAAGTTATAGTTACTATATTCTTACATTGTAATTGTTACTATTAAGGAACAGGAAGTATTTGTTACTTCTCTGATCGATCAAGCTTTACTCGATAACAATGGATGCAATTGTCTGCATCTTGTTATACTTTGCGATAGATATCTTTAAAGTTTATTAACTTTCAGAAAGATTTCGCGATACTTCGATCTCGTAGCGATCTTCTATGATTTTTAAGCTCCGCCTTTTTATCTCAGGACAGTAACTCACTTTTTAACAAATATTTAAAAGTAATGTTTCATACAATTCGCGATATATACGTATACTCGTACATATCAGCCCTTGATAAGACTTTATCACAGTTGCAATGTGAGACGATAAAAAATTATATCCTTCATACGAGAAATAGAATTCACGCGTTAGATGAAACTATACGAATTCGCTGTTGTACAATTTTTAGAAATCTCTTTGCTCCACAACATTTTCAATTATCTATCCATTATTAACACGATTATTTATAACACTGAATTGTTTTTCATCGGAGAAGTCATCTGTAAATATCGATCTATGATCACACAATCATCCTTATTTATACCCTTTTTCACCTCGAGCCTTCGAAATGAAACGTTTACGCGATATTTTAGAGAAACATTAATTTTTCTACGATCTATTTTCTGAAAATGAGATTTTTACAATGTATATTGGGCGCCATTCGTGTTATAGTCTTCCAGGTATCGAGAAAAGATTGTTATAAAATCGTGAATTTCACGGTGACCAATCTAATGAAAAATTTGGAAAACGAAAAAAATGATTACGTGTTGTAATCATATATATAATAAAATATAATAAAAAAATAAAAAAATGGTCACTGGTTGAATTCATAAACGTGTTTAAACGCTCTATGCATGATAAGTGCAATAAGAGATATTTTTTCATGCGAAAAATCAAAATAGACTACGTCGATGATGATAGGACGTGTGAAATGAAAACCAAAGTATTAAACATCGGTGTAAGTTAATGATAATACTTGTAATATTCTGTATGAATGTAAAACTGCCTCAACTCTTTCGCTGACTGTCGTACAACATAGGTTTAATTAATTAGGCGGTCAACTTACACGATCCAAGTACTTAATTTTTATTATTCTTCGAGAATCTCTAGACGCTTGGTTCATCGATCACGTAGTTATATGTTACTTAAAAATATCATTATACTCTTATTCAACGAATGTGTTGTCTTATTCTTTTTTTATTACATGTTCAAATACTGCGTCGATGAACAAGGTGTTGATTTTTAGAAACTTTAACATTAAGTTTTTAATAGGTTTCTGTTGCCACACGATTGTCTTTTAATAGGATTTTTTAATCGAGGCAATATTAAATACAAATATTCGTTATTTTTGAAAATCTTTTCGGTAGGTCGATCTACTGTGATACTGTGCAGTGGAAAATATAAAACAATAAGAGATTTTTATCATAGAAGGAATGAAAGGACCAAGTATAATAAGTCAAAATAAATTTTGAAAAATCGAAGTTTCGACTTCGATTTTATCTTAATTCTTAATTCGTATATGCAAATTTTACTTTCTATATATAGAATTTTTTATGAATACGATTTGAATAATAATTTCATTTTAAGGTCGAAAAAAGTAAAGTATTAGTGCCGTATAAGTATTAAATATTAAAAATGCAAGATTAATTCTCGAAATTATTTGCAATTTCTGCTTATGCGAATCACTTTTTCGTTTTTCCTTCGCACGGTATTGCAATTGTATAATTGTACTCTCTGTATTTTATAGAATTTATCGTATAAGTATGTTAAGTTTATTTAAAGGGCAGCTACCTTTAATTAATTACGAAATCACGTAAGACTCAACCGTCACCAGCTTGTACTTATTATATTGTTTCTGATTCTTCACGCTCAGGATTGTACACGATTCGTCATCGTTTACCATTACCATTCACCAATGTACAATTATAACACGAAGCAATAATAGCAAGACAATAATAAACGAAGAATAATTTTGATTCAATGAATAGTTTTATTCTCAAACATAAATTTAATAGCCAAATTCTTTCAAAGATTTTGTCTTATTTTTATCGAGTCTGCGTGGTATGTTTTTTGAAGCGATAAATGGAAGAGCGATATACAAACGCTGTACATACACATATATGATTTTTAAATGGATTTAAAACTTTATCTAGATAAAATACGAACTGTTGTTGATAACGAATAAAGGATTAAATTTAATAAATATTAAAATAGATATTAATACAAAAGCAAATATTTTTTCGTGTATAATGTAATCGAAGAATAAAAATTGGTGAAGTAAATGAAAATTCTAGCTTACAACAAGGAAAAGGTTGCGTTGTCTGGTACTTCATGCAAGTGTTAATTGTACAGAGAACTTTCAAATTAGAGAAAAGCGTTCGTTAAGATGTAGAATCAAGATTGTAGATAAGTACCATTCTTTAAGCTCTTCATTTTAACGGAATATTTCCTTTTAACGACGTAGTAACACAAAAACATACTTAGTACTAACTAAAAAACACCCTCGTTAATATACAAATCTATAAAAATGTATAAAAAATGTCAAACCTTCACTATGCTTATCTGACCAACACATTTTATATCACAGACGAATCAATGATCATCCAACATTTACCAAGCACCGTTCTCATATTCCACGAACCTTGCTATGCAAATCAGCTTTCACAGAAGGAAGGGATTCGAACCCTCCACGTCGAACCCACAAAAAGATCCAATTCGCATCAACCCGTTCAGCAATCACTTCCATTCACTCACCAGCCAGCAGATGAACGTTTATACTCCGGTGAATTTCACAATGCCGCGTCGAAGTCGCGCATGTGCCCTATTCGCCGGCTTCTTTCCCTCCTGGCAAAAGACCCTTTCTTGCCTCAGTACCACGTTATTGTCGGGACGTCGAGGGTCTCTCGTGTCATCGTTTCTGAGAACTTACGTGTGTCTAGAAGAGGAAGATCGAAGGAGGAAGTGTCAGCCAACGTGAATCTTCGTGCCAGTTAATCCACGTTGAGTTACTTCTTCGCAGTCGCGTTTTGCTTTGGCGAACAGCTCGAATGAACTGCGAGGCGATCGTCAGGGGCGTGAGAATGCTGAAGATCGTCAAGGTCGGCTCGAACGGACTCAGAAGGCTGCACACAAGCAATAAGGTGCGAAGAATTGCAAAGTCAAGTAGATTCCGAGAGATTCTACTTCGTAGATTTATTGATTGGAGGATTGCCAAGTGCTCGGGCTTTTTGGCACGGCGTGAGAATGTCTCATCGATTGCTTCGTGGACTTGGTGTTCAATACAGAGTTAGACTAGAGGATATTTAATAATTTATTTCGAACGATTTCGCTGACTTTGGAATTAAGATGTGTTGTAGAATTTCCAATTCTATATCCAATATTTATTGGATAGAGAATGAAAGAATGTTCAGTCGCTGATAATTGAATTTGGAGAACAAGAGCAGTATTCAAGGCTGATTATTTCCTATTTAAAATTTTATAGAGAGCTGGACCTAGAAATATTTAAAGGATTATAAACTTTGCAGCTGACTATGAAATATATGTTGGATAGAGGATGAAAGAACGTTCGATTGCTGATAATTGATTTTGGAGAATAACAGAAGCATTCAACATTGATTATTTTCTGATTATTTTGTGGAGAGTTAGACTAGATAAACTCTTTAACTACTTGTCTTCGAAGGTACTAAAGGATGTTGGAATATTTGGTTACGCTAATTGAATTTGGAAAGTACAAGTATTCAGAAGACACGAGCAGAATCTTCTAGAGGATTAGAGGATTCGTTGATTAGGCAGTGTTGAGGTGCTTCTGACCTCGAGGGAGAATCGTCGCTGATTGATCAATCACTAAAAGAACTCAGACGTTGTTAAATAAGACGAAAGTCTAAATGAAAGAGAGCAATAAATTGAATATTCTTTTATCGAAATATTCGACATATATCAAAGAAAATACATTTACTTTCATTTTAATCTTAACATTCTGTGAATATTTGCGTAAAAAATAATACTATTGTATAAATATGTACACAAATCATACAGTGTATACAGTTCGAGGGAAAAAGGTATCTGACATAACGGAGGAGACGTGTTAAAATTGTTCGTTCGCGGTGTGTCCACGTGGGCGACAGCAATGTCCCATTTCAGCGACAGAAATACGCGGCTACTTGGAGTGCACGCGTCTGGATTGGACCGTGTTAACATTTCTGCGCGATAAATTGATGTCAATGTTCATCAACGAGCTATCATACGTCTCATGTTATTTATCATTTATAGTATTTGATCTAGTATGACTAAAAGTCATATGGAATTTATAGAATTGGTTTTCCAATATCGTGGAAAAAATGAGGGGTCTCAGAGGGGTTGAAAACAGAAGAAATTGCGAATAATTATTCTTCCGCAATTCAAATTCGAAATTTGTTCTTGTATTTGTATCTGAACTTTTCCTTAGAAAACCTGAAAGATTAGAAAACTTAACTTTCGATTCGACTTAAAGAAGATTTAAGATTTAATAATATATTTAATAAAATCCATTGTGACTTGTAAACTCTATGAAACTATGTATGAAATTTTGGAGACAAGGTACATTTTAGTGCAAGAGAAACCACTTCCCAATTATTTGAATCGTCTTTCGATCATTCAACTAAAACTTGGATTAAAAGTTATAGAGAATAGATCAGTTTCCTTTATTGTTTTCGTTCTCGTTCATGCAGATCCTGCTGATCTGAATTAAGGGTACACGTGGCAGGTTTCGGCTTAGGGCTATGGTAGTTGATTCATCGAAGAATCAATACAGAATTGCTTGGCAACCACCACTTTTCACCCCTCGTACGTTTTACCGACCCGAAATTTGTTTATCGATCGTTGGACCGGTTTCTGAAAAGCGGAATTGTGCCTCCTTCTCTTTTTATTTCCACCGCTTTTATAATGGAAAAGCGGATTTGACGTTGAAATGGAAAAATGGACACAGAATAGAATAGCAAACGCACAGAATAGAATTTTATACGTTTAATTTTACTATTCTGAAATAATGAATGGATGTAGTAAATCATACTAATTTTTAAGAACAATTCTATATTACGTTAAATGAATTTAAATTCAGATTACAATACATTTTTCTAAAGGCACTTAAATCAAATATCGATAGACGATAATTTGAACTATATAATGAAAACATTCAACAAAAAGAACAAGTTTCAAAATAAATTTGAACAAGTTTGAAATAAAATCGAAACGTTCTCCAACAAATCGTGACAAATTAGAAAATAAAATAAAGCGAAATATTCTTCAAACATGCTTGTTCTAACTAGTTTCTACATTATTTCAGAGACGAGCGGCGGTACCAGCGTCGAAGAAACTGGGACGTGCAAAATACTTGGATGCCGCTTTTGGAAGTGCCTTAGAATTAGAACGAGCACAGACACGGTAATTAATTCATTATCTTACTTCTACCTCTGTTTCATTCTAAATTTTTACAACAAGTCACTCGATTATTTTTAAATTTGTAATTATAGCGTGATCTAAAAGATATCTATTTACAAAGTTAGTTTTAAACAACTCGATTATGTTTTGTAGTTATAGTTTCGTTTCAAAGAACGCGCGTTCTCGTTATTTATTCTCTGTCACGAAGCTACTAATATTAACAATAAGCGATACGACTCGAATGGTGTTACATTTAATCGCGCAAAATGATCCGTAATTACGTGACATTCTCGAATTTCGCATAGCTCCGACCGTGAGAGGAAAACTACGACGTTAGACTAAGTTCTCCAGAGAATATGAGATTTCGCAAGGTATAACGATGAAAATCTATACAAAATCTATACGAGATATGTACATTATGGAACATCAATTCATATAGGCAATGTTAAATCTCAAAAGTTGACTCCTCTTTTTAATTCGCAATTTTATCACTTTTGCAATTAGACAATTTCACGAAGAGAGTATCGACACTTAGGTAAAAAAGAAATGCAGAAAGTCTTTACGAAAAAGAAGCAACTATTCCTAATATGTATTGTTCATTCCGAGTTCTTTGATTTTTTTTTTCACCGTCAAAGAGTTAATCGCTGGTTTCTTTTTATTAATCATTAGTTTCGAAATCATCGGTTGTGATACGTAAGAGAGAATGCCTCTGCAAATAGTGTAATGAAACTATTTCGATTGCATAATTTAAACAACGAACGAAGTCAGAGCAGTTGAACCACGCCAATGAGTACAATAGTCTTCGCAGATGTTTAATCATTTCGTTCATTTAGATAAAAAAAGAAGGATCGTTTCTCGTAACAATGAAGAAATAGATCCGTACTACTAAGTGGAACACAATGGAGTATCAATAAATCCGAAGTAATCGATACTGGTGGTTCTCAATCGCTTCTATTTGTAGAGTTGTTAATTATCATGATACAAAAAGGAAGAAAATGCAATTGTTCCTCCATTGATTCTGCCATTTCCATTTAAATCCCCCTGTAACACTAATCATTTGTGTATTCTTATCTTTCAAGCAATTGCAATATCTTTTTTAAATTAATTTCTTTAATGTCACCTTCCAGTTATCTCTCCGTTCTTCCTTTTGTAATTAATTCGATTATAGATCATCCTTCAAAATTCCTTCTCTTTCGATTCGTAAATTGATGACATCGAAAAGATGATATTGATTATTAATTGAGAACCATTGAACGACAGAGAACTCGACCCCATAGGTTGTATTTATTGTCTGAACGTCATTGCTGGCCATTTAAATACTCCAAAGGATGTCCCTTCGTTGTCTCTCAGAACTTTGCTCGACTTTCGAGAAACTCGATCTTTCGCAGAAGAGTGTTTTGTGTTTGAAATAGACGTATTTAGATAATAGAGCTTCTCATTCAACAATGGACGATTAGTATTCGACCGATTGCTTTTCGCGTTAAAGACAGAAGATAATGGACAGTTTCGACTTCTGTGAACCATTTCTAGACGATTTTCCTCATTTTCAAAAAACGTACTTACGGTAAGAATTGTTACAAAAATCAATATCATACGTATAATATTTCCATATCGTATCATTTTCATTAGTCACAAAAATTGTCCCGAGATGATTTATTTTTAAAGGATTTCTGCGATTTATGGTTGATTTATATTATAATATACACTGTATAAATGCGAAAATATGATTTTTCCTTCGATGGAAATTAAAATATAATGTCTCCAATAATGTAAAAAGAGATCTGAGATTTATGAAAGTCTCAATGAATTTGTTGAAGTAGGAAGCATATTTTATTTACCTTCAACTTTGCATAAGATTTTTCGCATTGTCGGCTTTAAATTGAACTAAAAAGCTTTTGTCACTATTGACCACACGATCGTCACTGTCGACGGTCCAGTGGTTCTAATTAAGCCTAATCAACTGTTTACCGCAGGTGTGATTTATTGTGTAGTATTCAACGTTTGCTTGCGTAAATCACGTGTTCATATCGTGCTATAATGCAACCAATGCGTCGAACATAAAATTTGAACAAGCTCTTTGATATGAAATATTCCCTTAGGAAATACCCTTGCACAATTTCTTTAGATATTTACCTCAAATTCTGCTTTTTTTCATTTAAATTCCATTTATTATTATATATATTATAACTACTCTATACATTATAAATCCATGTTTAATTATTTAATTTATTATCATTTTATTCATTATAATATTTTGTTAAACAAATTAAATAAACAGAATATGTAGGAATTGAAATTAAAATGGAAGGATCTTATTAAATCTGCTCGATAGATGTGGAAATGGTGTGGAAAATATTGAGATACTGCGCAAATATGAAAACATGAAGTACAGTAATAGATGAGTAAAGAGACGGAGCAGAACAACTAAATAGTAGGCAATCTTTGTTTGCAGTTATGCAATTCTTCGGAATCTCGATGTACCGAACCTATTTGCTCCAGAATATACATACTCGAACCGCTCTCATGGAGATTGCTACCTGTTAGCATCTTCCGCTATTTTTGGATCGTGTTTTCCTTTGTTCGAGTGGGGTCGTTTTTCTCAGCTAATATAAGACCGCGTTTCCGGTTATCTTGTACAAACCAACCTGATAAGAATTGTGGAGGAATTGTCTGTGACTCTTCTGAAAGATTTTCCGTTTGGAGAACGTCCATCAAGATCGTAGAATTCGACATTATCAATCAAAACTGTGACTGTCGTGTGGAGCGATGTGCCAATTAATTTGAAATATCGATTTTTTTATTAATACTTGAATCGTTTATTGATCAGTGCTTAAACAAAAATTGGTAGATAATTCTCAAATCAAGTATTTTGGATTGCAAGAAATAGCAAATTAATTTCAAGTTACATACAAAGCTTTTTTAATTTTGATATTAAAATATGAAGGACATGGATCAGAGCATCGTTATGCCTTGTATAGAATTGAACGATAAATGTTCAATGGAAAATTCGGAGTTAGTGCCGATGAGTAGCTTCGTCGATCCTGAATACTATTCAATGAGAACGAAAATTACGTGTTCAATGTGGTTAGAAAAGAAGAGTGAAAATTCGAGGAGGATGCTGGCGCGTTTTCTTAGGTAAAATACACGATTCTCTTTTTAATCTCTTGTCCTTATTCTGTTTTTGCAGCGAGTACAGCTTCATTCATGACAGTCATTACATGTAGTGAGTACTGTGCAACTATGTTGCTGTCAACTATTGCATGGTGCAACATGTGGAATGTTTCAAATCATTTTTTATAAATTGTAGCTATTGAATTCTCCTTTGGTGAAGTGATAATAGGTTTTCCCGTTTCTTGAATACTATGACTATGTATACAGACCGTTGTCAAGTTTCTTCGAATTGATATAATTTCCCATAAACTTCGAGATTTGTAGTTTTAATATAATTGAAATTGCAGAGTGAATTTAAGTTTTCTGAGAAACTTTACAACAAATCTCTCGAATTTTTGTATTATATAACAATATTCTCCCTAAAAGCAATTAACTTACTTACAATGAACATTTACCATAGAGAACATTTATATACAGGTATGTATACGTGGTGTGTTATTTAAATCATTTTAAGATTTTACCATCACTGTCACTCATTACAGTACTGATGCAATTTTAAAATATTTTGTGTAATATATTCATAGAAGATTTCTATAAGTGTTCAAATATTTTTGTGGGTCATTATATAAGTTCTATTATCTATCATAAATATCGTCTAGTAAATGTACTATCATCTTGTTTTTCTAACTTTGTTTTTTTATAAATAGTGTCATTCATCTAATCAATTTCTAATAAAAACTAGTGCTAACAAATTACGTCATTCAATAAACGTCAACTTCGTTAGTCAAGGTATTGATGACGATGTAGCCACAACTAAATTTAGCTTCCCTCGATAGAAACTTTTCAGACAGAGATCCAAGTTTCAAATGTCTCTGTGGTCTATGTTTTGTTACGTTTACAAATAACGAATATTGGCATAGATCCTAGCTTATGCGTACAATACCCACTATACTGTATCAACTATATGATTAGTAATAGTTATGCATGACAGTGGTGAAGTATGTCTTCCCCAAACTTGTTATTATTGTATATCGATAAAAGCAAAGATATATGTCATAAAGTCAAGTAAATTCGTCACTTTGCCAAGATAATAAGTTGCATGCCACGTGGCATATATAGAATATAAGTAGAATGATGCACAATAGTAAGCGTATTATATCTTCCCTCTAGTAAATTGCACCAACGTAGACTGAGAAGATGGTAGTTTGAATTTTTATTGCTATTTTCCGCATTTTTACTCCTATTTTTCAAATTCTATCCATACTCAGCGATCTAATTAAAATTACACAAATATGAAACGAATAATCGTCCAATTTCTCTACTTATTTCAGCACTAGAGATCAAGATCAAGCAACGAACGCGGAAGATGTTCTCTTCGACATGTTTAAAAACGAGGATACCGGCCTCCTAGCGGTGGGAAAGTTTTTGGCTGTAAGTATACCCATCAATTTCATTTTCATGTAATTGATCATTTATTATTTCATTCTCATATAATTGTAGGCTCTGAGGACCACCGGTTTGCGAAACGAAGACCCTAGACTTCAAGAATTTACGGATAATTTACGAAAGGAACACTTGAAGTGCGGAGGTCACGAGGGTGTATCTCACGAGACTCAAAAATTGAATAGAGAACAATTTAGACGGTAATTTCCTCGCAGCGAATTAACATAACTCTCGTTTAATGTTATTTAAAAAATAAAAATTCGCGATACTTAAATTGCTAACAAAAATTCTACCAATTTCTTTTGTTTCTGCTAACAACTGTCCATGATTTAAAAAAGATCTACCGAAACGGAAGATTTAGATTTCTTAGATTCGTTCATAAATTCGTAGATCTAGATCGGTTCAAGATTAAATGATTCGAAATGAGTAGCTTTAATTAATATTAAAATTTCAACTGTATTTCAGAATTATAAATCCGAACATAGTGCTGATCTCGCGGGCGTTTAGGCATCAATTCATTATCCCCGACTGGTCGGGCTTCACCAAGCACATAGAGGACTTCTATTGGAAATGCAAATCGAACTCGGAGGGCAAGGTCGCCTCGTACATACCGCAATTAGCGAGGATGAATCCAGATTATTGGGGCGTTTCCGTTTGCACGATCGATGGACAGAGATTCAGCATCGGCGACACCTCGATCCCGTTTACTTTGCAAAGTTGTAGCAAGCCCTTGACTTATGCGATCGCTTTAGATAGGCTGGGACAGGAAGTGGTCCATCAATACGTTGGCCAGGAACCATCCGGACGAAACTTCAACGAGTTGGTGCTAGATTACAACAGTAAGTTTTAGATTATTATTCGTAGATTGCAGATTTTATATTTTTATGAACGCAATTAAAAAATAAAATCTAAATAAAAAATTAGTTTTACCTATTAAAAATTATAACGAATGCTATATTTTGAATATTTCCTTCTTAGCTTTATAAATACTCTTTATTACTTTTTTTAAGATTTCTTGTTTCTTTGCCATCGTTTTATGTATTTGATATTTTTATGTTTTATTATTTTTATATTATCAAATGTCACACATATATATAAATATTTAATTCCTTACAGAGAAACCTCATAATCCTATGATCAACGCTGGGGCAATCTTAATCTGTTCTCTCCTAAAGTCTCTAATCAAGCCTGAAATGACTTTAGCCGAAAAATTCGATTTTACATTAAACTACTTCAAGAGGCTAGCTGGTGAAGAGAATCTAGGCTTCAACAACGCTGTGTTTTTATCGGAACGGGAAGCTGCTGACAGAAATTACGCACTTGGATTCTACATGAGGGAGCACAATTGTTATCCCGATAAATCGAATCTAAAAGAAATCTTGGATTTCTATTTCCAGGTAAATTCTCTTGGTTTGTCTTTCGTCGTAACTTGTTACAGAAAATACGAGGAAAATGATGTTGAGTAAATATTTAAATAACATGTTTGTTGTAAAGTGTTGCTCCATGGAGGCGAATTGTGACACAATGGCAGTGATGGCAGCCACTTTGGCCAACGGTGGTATTTGTCCCATCACCGAAGAAAAAGTTTTAAAGCCTGACAGCGTTCGAGATGTTCTGAGTTTAATGCACAGTTGTGGAATGTACGACTACAGTGGCCAATTTGCGTTCAAGGTAATTTTTTACCTTTTTAAGGAAGGATATTAAGCTAGAAAGAAATATTCTTGTCATCAAAAGCAGCTTAATAAAGATAAGTCGCGAGAAGAAATCAAGTCAAAATGAAAATCTTGCGAAAATGCAATTTTTTACTGAAATGTTTATCTTTCCTCTGAACTGTTCTATCAATTTATCCTTCGCAACTTATTATTGATAGATATTGAAAATAAATTATGTAACTGAGTATAGGTTGGCATACCAGCGAAGTCCGGAGTGTCAGGATGTCTCTTGGTAGTGATACCAAACGTGATGGGTATTTGCACGTGGTCTCCACCATTGGATCCCCTTGGGAACTCCTGCAGAGGCGTCCAATTCTGCCAGGAACTCGTCTCTGAGTTCAACTTTCATAGGTACGCATGTTATTGACTTTCGTTTAGCGTGCTTGCATAGATTTCAACTTACGTTTAGTTACATTTTGCACACCAACGATCACTATAGAAACAACGTATTAGCTTTTGTAAAAATAAAAAAGAAGTGAAAGAAAAAGAGAAACAATAGTAGCTGCAAACACACGAAATTTAGGAAAGATTTAAACGATTAGATGTCCACTTTTAGATGTAACAAATTTCTTGATTGTTTATGCTATAAAAAGACCACCGAGATCAGTGATAACACACATTAATTAAACTGTTTGTTCTCCTTCCTTTGCTTTTCTCACAACCCCTGGTACACGCAAACCCTGCACGAACATACCAAACCCGAACAAACACGTTCTGCCTATTACTCTCTTCTTTACATCGTCTGTGTTCATTGATGTCCCGTCGTTTTCCATCCCGTCCCGATTAGTGTAGCACCTACTATGATCACAGGTACGACAATCTGAAGCACGCGACTAACAAGAAAGATCCGAGGAGGCACAAATACGAAACCAAAGGGCTGTCGATCGTTAATCTTCTGTTCAGCGCAGCCAGTGGCGATGTTACGGCGATGAGAAGGTTATTATCATTAATTATTTGATTATTAATATGCTTCAGCTTTGCTATTATTGAGACGTATTTTATTTAACTCTGCCGCGGTCATTGCGACATTTTCGGTGCAATCATATTTTTCTATTATTAAAATTATTGATCATTTATAACAGTTATTTGCGATCGGAACACTTACAAATTAAGAATTTTTATTTATTTAAATTATAATCTATATTTATATTTAATTTCAGGCATCGATTGAGCGGAATGGACATGACCCTGTCGGATTATGATGGTCGAACAGCTCTGCATTTAGCTGCTAGCGAAGGGCATCTGGATTGTGTCGAATTTTTAATCGAACAGTGTGGAGTTCCTCACAATCCTAAGGATAGGTAAGTGCCACCTAATCTTTCTATCTTTTAGCTTTGTATCCCCTAATATTCATAAAGAAGATAAATTTTATAATGAATTCCCAGTCAATTAATTCATCTCTCGATTAGAGTCCTTCGATTAATTTTCAAATTTATTTCAAAATACAAAATAACAATATCTCATGGAAATATCGGGTTTTAAGATGGGGAAAAAGGCCGATCGATGAAGCAGAAACATTCGGACACATGCAAGTGGTGGAATACTTAAACAACTACGCTATAGCCTTAAAGACGGAACAGAAAAACGAAGAGAAGGAGAATAATACGGAGGAAGGGGATCAAATGAAAGTAGCTGAATCAACGACGCAAACGCCGATACCATAAGATCATAGCAGCTTTAGATAGGATATTTTTCATAGAAAGTGCGCGGCGTGATTGACTTACAATAAGAAAATGACGGAAGGATCTCGAGATCACAGTGAATCGATTATTTTCCTACAAAAACACACGTTACGGCTGATTTAGTTTATTTTTACGATTAGTTGAATTTGCAGCCTAGAATCAAAATCATTATAATCTTGTTCTTACCACCAAATAGTGTAAATTATATTTATAGCCGTTTCTTTTCTTGTGTCTTAATTATTTGATCTTTTTGTATGAATGTGTGCGTATGTGTATAGATTTTAAGAAACGTATGAATGTTTTTTTGAACTATGTTAATTATTTTTGTTTCTTTTTAACAGGATACGATTCGTATGGCATTTTTAGTATTAAAGATTTATCGTTCATGAAATAGCGACAGTTTGGATGACAGAAGGCTAGCACGTTCATGGTAATTTTACAGTATTATTTACGTGATTTAGTTCTTATTTATGATAAGGAATACTTATACGTAAATGTCGTCTGTTTAAGTATTAATTTATATTTCGAATGATTGTGCAAGAGAACTGACGTATACCGATGATAATTTCTATAATAGTATAAAGAACATTTCGTTCATTTACTACGATACTCGTTCCTACGTGTTCATCGGTGTATGCTTTGAGTATCAGGAAGGAAAAGTTCCAAATTTAGGTACAACTAAGAATCATTTTCTATCAATTTGCAATTGACACTTTCCTAATTTTAGTATTTCCTGTTCCATTTCGTTTAACCTTCCATTTTATTGCTATGTTATATTATATTTCATCAGCGTAGTATTATATTGAAATAAAACGATTTATTTATGACAATTGTTAATAACGAGATTTTAAATTGAAAAAACCAGAACTGTGATTGTCTGTATCCTATATATAAAATTATTAGTCAAAGGAATAAGGGTCGTGGATCTCTATATTAGTAGAGGAAGAGAACAACAAAAAGTGGCTACCGGAAGCGTCTTCTGCTTCCTGTATAGGTGGTACATTTTACCACTATCTGTTTATTCAATCAAATGTTCAACCCTTTATTTGGCAAAATGGAAATGCAGAAAATTGATATTGTTTAACTTCCAAAGAAACTCACTTTTCTGTGAATCATTTGCTTTATAAAATTATTGAAATCCGAATTGCCGAATAAGGGGTTCGTGTTAGTGTCACGTTTCGTCAATTACCTCGAAATCTGCCTTAAAGTAGACGAAAGAATGGTAATTATACAAAGGGGAGTAAAAAACTTATCAAATTTCGCTTTGTGCGATTCTTCATTGTCTCGTGAGCAAGAACATGTAAAAATCGAAGACGCGAAGTGGAATGAACTGCATGGATAACATGGATATTGTCCATTTGGAATCTCTTACCTGAAAAGAGAATTTTCGTGTCAGGAAAGATTCGCCAGATGAGAAACATATCGTTCTGAATACGTGTTTAAATTGGAAATTTCTTTGTGATTCTTGCAAAATGCATCTAAATCTAATTTTTTATTTAAACAAAAATTTCAGTTTATGTAGCATTCTATTGTTTCGCACCTAATTTGAAATAAAAGTAATTAAAGGCACGAATGTTAACACTTCTCGCATTTTTTTGTATAATGCTACCTAAACTTGGAAATTTCTAAACGATTGTATCTAAAAACTGCTGAAAGAGAAAGATCTATACATATACGAAAACGAAGAAGTTTGCCTCTTAAATTCATTCAGGAGATTTGTTAGAAATTCGAGCAGTTATCCTTGCTTAATAAGTGTAAAGAAAAACCACGTTCAACGGGTGGATTAGCAAAGACACGTACAATGAGCGTCAATTATTTCCTCTTAAGTTCACCAGGACTGTCGGAAAAAACGAAATAAGCTTGATTAACGTAAAAAGCAAAACAAAAAAATTAATACTTCAAAGTATCGTATCAAATAAATTTTCCAAAAATGTTACCTTCGCAAATATATAAATTTTCAAGGTCTGAATTCTCCGTCATTTGAATGTTTCGAAACGTCCAATTAATGCTATTTCAAATGTATACATAATGTATAGCAAAATATTCTTCCAATGGACAAAAGACAATACCGATATCTAATATTGGGAAAGGTATTTATGCAAAGGCGACTTTTACTTTCGATCGATGTTATAATTTTACATAAAAATATTTTATATAAATTTATATAATGTTGTCATCGAATATTTTATTCTAATTTCATTCGCGTGGATATTACGAATTAAATTTACGATTATTATTTTATTCCAAAAGTTGAAAGTTGGAAATTACCATAAAAAATATTTTGTATCTTTAACATGACATTAACAATATATACAGATAATAATATTGTCGGTTGAAAGTAAAAACAGCAAAAATAAAATACCTTTTTCTGCCTACATATTATACGATCCTCCAATTGATTTAAGTTCAGATTTTCACTTACAAGTGGACAATAACTTTCATCGATACAATCATTATTCCGTTCATTAACACTCGATCCGATCATGTTTTATTCTTTTATCTTATTGCTATAATAATAGGATGGATTATTTGTGTTAATATTTTGTAAGAATGTTATAAATTGCGTTTAAAGAAGAAAAGTTGGAGAAATTATTTTAGAAATATGTAACTCGTACATCTCCACGATTGTACTTAAATTGCTTGTGAAATAAATATTTCAAGTACACGTCTTTTGTTTTCATTCTTTGACTATTCGAACAAATCTAAATAAGTTTATAGCTCTATAGTGAACCTAAATTATAAAATTTATATAAATTAAAAATTATAAAAAAAAATAAACCCAATTATATAAATATTTCCACAATATTATTTATATGTATCAAATTAATTACAAGAGAAAAATTCTTGACGAAATCTTATTAAAAATAAAAATATAACAAATATAATTAATACAAATATAAAATATAACATAAACAAGAAACTCACTCGGTAAATTTCATAAATTAATGTTTCGTTCATCACGATCACGATACCAATGAAACATCGAATCTTTCATCTTTATAAATCGATATCGCAAATCGATTTTTGATTTGCTACGATCACTCGGAGTTAAATCTTGAGCGATATTAGAATGTGTTTGAAACATGTATTCGAAATACGCAAAACACCTATTTTCAAAATAAAGAATTATATGTAGTCGATTTTTTTATGTAACAAGAGAGAAAGATAAAAAATGTTTCAATTTATTATCTTATTAGTTTATTATTTTGTTCAATTACTTTATATAAAAATTTGTTTCACTTTCTGAAATGATAAAACTTCTTTTCCTACAAAGCACGTGGTAAATGTCATGGTATATGTCATTCGTATAAAGTTTAATAAACTTCGTTCCATAATATCGAGGCATTTAAGACTGACAATACACTACTGTCAAGCACATATCCAATCAGCTGTTTCTGTTTCGTTTCTCGTAGTTATCCGTCAGATCGTTGTTGATCTTGTGCCTGTTTTTGTTCTCGTTCAAAAATTAACTTCGACATAGAAGTTGATTAGAACAACGAATTTTAATCAACATATATATAACATATAGTGCTGAATAAGAAAATCGTTTCAATGGAAGGATCGCCGAAATGAACGATTAACCTCACTTTTCAGCCGCTAGGTTCCTCGAGCAACCATGTAAATCATTGAAAACATTCCAATGTATCATTTAAGTCGATCGTACGGCGCGGATAGTTCATCCACGTTCTTTTCTGCGACATATCGGAACGGTTTGAATTGTTCTCCTCGAAGTATTATCCTCAATGAGATTTCTCGTGGAATCAAGTTGCTGCAGTGCTCTCGAAAACTTGTAGTACGGGTGCTCGGTGTCGACGTTTGCACTAATTATAATATACTATGATGACCGAGAAATCCAGGAAAATAGTGACTAGATTTCACCCGACTCACGGGGAAAATATTATGTTGAGAGAGGACAACACTGTGGCATATCGTACTGCTAGTTTTGCAAACTCTCTGGCCTTCAGCGAAAAGCCACTACAACCAGGTGAAATATTCTTGGTGGAAATTGAGAAGACTGAAAGAGGATGGAGTGGACACATGAGACTGGGACTGACTCTTATAGATCCTGCTTCCATAAACAATAGTCTGCCACAGTTCGCTATGCCTAATCTTGCTAAGCTTGGTAATACATGGATATTTGCCATTACTAAAAGTCATACTATATGGGATAGTATTGAAGGATATGGTAGGGATTTGTAACTTGGTTTCATGTAGTTTAAATCTTTATTAACTAAGTTTTACGTTTATACATATTTAAGGTGAAGGAATACCATCTGGAGAGAAGAAATTAATCACAGATGGAGTAAATGTGCAAACTTCTCGAGGAGTTATCCCATTTAATTCCCTTAGACCAAATACAGTTGATTCTTCTCAGTATATTCTACCTACAGATGCTGGTAGTCGTATTGGAATTATGTATGTGCCACAAGCTGGTTCAGATAAAGCAGAAATGCATTTTATAATTAATGGTGAAGACCAAGGTGTATGTGGAAAAGACATACCATATAAGGCAGGTCCTTTACGTGCTGTAGTAGATGTATATGGTACCACAAAACAAGTCAGAATAGTTCAGCTATATGGTGGTATGTTCCTTTTGTTTCTTAGGTATATTATCTTTAGAGGAATTTCGTTTTCCTTAATAATTATATGTTTCAGCAGTATCTACTCTACAAAGTGCCTGCCGTGATGCTATACTACAGTATACTAAAAGGAATGCAGTTGATTTACTTCCACTTCCACGAGTTCTAAAAGATTATCTGTTGTACCAATCACAATGAAATTTCATCTTATCTCTCGACTGTATTTCCTCTACTCGTTTGTATAGCCATTTCAATACCCATATAATTTCTTTGACAATTCATTTTTTCTACAATTTGCAATGCATTTGTTGCATAAATCATACTTTCATTTATTCTAATTATTTTATCCTAGGACGGATGAATGAAACTTTGTAAAACAAATCTAGAATTGCTTTCATTCTTCTAATTAGCTGTTCTTTCACTTTTTTAAAGTGTATAATTTAACACCTATGTAATACGTGTACTTTGCGTAAATGCTAGGATGTAATATGTACATAATGTAAGAAGTTGTTGACAGAACAGTGAATAAGTTCTGATAAGCGACGGAGTATCGCCTTTTCTAATTCTTGCATTTAGCACTTATTAGCGATTACACTTTTACAAGTTTATGACTCTGCCATTCGCTAGAATTCACACATTTCATGCCGCATGTAAATCTATATAAAATATCATCTAAAGCAAATTTCACTCAGATTCATCGAGGTATGTCATTCTTTTTCTATTGTTACAATTCATCGTACGTAAAAAGAACATTGTAAAATGAATTTGGTCGCACTGTTAAGATTCGCAAAAATGGATCCGATGTTTTTCAAAATAAATGTATTTATTAAAAAAAAAAAGAAAGGAAAAATCAAAGATTTTTTGAAACATCCAACCTTTTTCAATCTAGGGACTTGTGATCAAATAATTCAACGAACATTGTAATTGTATCAAGAATGCTTTACATTTTTTTAAACTGCTTTTAATGTACGTTATAATAAAAACGTCTGTTCACAAATTAAATTTTTAAAAGGAACTTGCGAATCTGCTTGTTGGTAAGAAAATAATTAGCAATATCACGTAAGTGAATAAAACGGTTAAGAAAGCAAGCCATCCAATCACAACCGAAGTGTACCTCCATGTCGATTCTTTTTTATTGGAAGATACTAAATTCGTATTGTCATCCACGTTCATTTCGATTGTAGCCGATACTTTCGGATCCAAAATGCTTAATAAAAATATCTGGCCTATTCTGCTTTTTAAAACCTTAACGGTGGTGACGGATATCCACGCAGGTGCTTCAGCGTTTATTTCATGCATATATCGCAGAATGCTGGTCAATATGAGTGAAAACGTGGCAAGTGCAAGAGATTTCTCATAGAATAGAACTAAAAAAAGAAAAAATGCAATGATAATCTCCATCGATCAGAAGGATTCGTAAAATAAAAAAAATTTTAACTTTCTCTCATTTAAGACTTTTTCATTCCTAATCATCCCATCTATATTTCATTCCTTATTTTAAAAACAAAATAATTAAAGACTTACTTAATCGTGGAGGATGGGTCCCATTGAATGGAAGCTTCCACTGAAGATCCAACAGGCAGAATAAATGCAAAATGAAATTTAAATTCGATATTATCATACGTTCCGTGGACCTTGGCTCTAGCCACAGTACCATCAGTGTCATCATCATCAAGACTACACGTAAATGTAAAATAACATTTTTTATCATATTACACATCCATATATCATAAAATGTTCATTATATTTTACAAACCTATAGCCGACGTCATATACGTTGTAGTATTCATAGAGGAATGTCTTCTTAAAAGAACGTGGTAAGATAATTGATCGGTTGTAAAACCTAAACCGTACTTGGATACTATTACACGTTCACTTTTAAAAAGATCCACCACTTCCCATTCCAAATTATCCTCGGTCGAATTCTCTGAAAACTGAGAATAATATAGAGCGTAAGAATTCTTAAATTTTCTTTCAAAAATTCGAATAATTGATCCATTAAATTACCAATGACATTAATATCTCATATTATCAATAAATTAAACAATCTAAAATTGGTCGTCTATAGTTTATAAAGAATTAGATTATTAACGAGAATTAACGATAATTAACGAGATCTTCGAGACATTGAAGTTTCATACATACATCGTTTAATGTGAAGGAACGTAAACTAATCTCGTTGCTCCCATGAGACCACGAGGCAATATGAATAGTACAATTCATCATATCATAAGGCCACCAAGTGTGATCAGATTCGCAAAATGTTGCGTATGTTGTCATTGGTACACAAAGTATCACACCATCGTGTTGTACTATGCACTCAGCTTGTGGCATCTCAACATCAACGCCCGTATCTGTTCTAAATGTCAAGATTAATGATAATAGTTAAATACTTAAATCTGATAAGCGAAAGTTTGAATGAATTGAAATGGGTTTAACAGGTGGACTCTCGAAATTCAGAAACTAAAAATGATCGTTAGAAAGATTGTTAATAAACGTTGAATCATGCGACGTGTATTTTTATTAATAATTAGACTGTAGATATTTGCATTTACATCTTTATCAATAACTAGACTGCGGGATGTTCTAACAACAATTAGACTGCGAATATGAATGTAATTAAAAAGATGACACTTAAGTAGAAAATTAGTTATTAAATATTGTAACAAGGGGTGCATACCTTGGATATCTTTCCACATTACGTACATTCTGTGCATTTTTGCATCTTGAAATTTCGCATAAATATATAAAAATTCTCAGTCTATCGATAACTTACGTGCTGTGCGTTACGATATCCGGAACCCAGATCTCGTAGCTTTTTACGTGAAGTGAAGTGATAGAATCAAATTGCGATTCGTCCCAAGTGAAATGAGGGTCTTTCCAAACCTATTATTCATTAGAAATATGAAAAATTTAAATTCCTTACATCTGTTATCTAATAAAAATCAAAAATACATCAGAATGATATTATTACTCACCAATCTTAGCCAAACATCGAATATAACGCTGTTGGTTATATCATTCTAACAAATAAAAACAAAGAAGGTAATATATCTAAATCTATAAATGTATTATACGTTGTTATTATAGTTATAAAGACTAAAATCCTTTCAGTTTTATTTATCCATAATTATGTAATTAATGTACATCTTATAAAAAATAAGCGTATAAGAAGAGTTGCTGTAACAATTATAAGAAATATTCAAGGAAATATGTACAAAGATCCTTATTGTGAAATTTTCCAGAGAAATAGGAAATCTCTTTATCTTCGCATCAGAAATATTACTTACAACTTCAAATTGTTGTATGTTTAATCCCAAGTTAATAATAGTGGCGTTGTTATAATGTTTTGTGGGCCTGATTTCCCTATTATAATCGCAAAATAAATAATCTTTCAGCCGCGTTAACGCAGAAGTGGTGGTGATGTCTTTGCACTGCATCGCGCAAATTCCCTGTTTATATGACAGAACGTTGAAGATCACAAATAAAACAGAAAACAAATTCTTCATGTTTAAACCGTGAGGGCACGAAACGAAATGACAGATCCACAACTGTACATCGATAGATCGAGAAGAGCAGTCGCACGCCCAGTGAAACGTTAAACCGAGAAGGTTGAAAACCGCCCCCTTTTCTTCCTTATCATTTAAACTTTTATCAATTTTAGAATTTTCAGTTGTAATATCAAATAAAATAGAACTAGATGATTTTTTATTCGAGAGATCGTTTCAATGAGACAATCGAGACTGAATATAAAATTGTTAGAAAAATCGTGACGTCTTACTGGCAGTGTGAAAAATATTGATCTTGAATCATACTTTTTGAAGTTTAAAGTGAAATTAGATTCATCTACAGTATGGTCAAGTATAAACAGCTTCTTTTATAGTTATACTTAATTATAAAATCTCGTTCGTATTCTATAATTATGCTTAACTATTTGTCACGGTGATATATTTAAAGATCTATATTTATACATTTCTATCAAAAGGCAATAAAAAGTATCAGTATCATTTATTATAAAGGCATCTATTAATAGTATCAGTCTATGGCGATATCGATAAATAAAAATAGATTTATTAGAGGTTACTCAGATTAAAATTCAAAAAAATCTATGTACATAATTTATTTGATAGCTCTACAAATCTTCAATCGATTGTTGGAAAACACCATCCGTCTATAATTTAACATACTGAATAGAATGCGCACAAGGAGTAACTGAAACTCCCACAAATATAATAAGAAAAAGAGGCATCTCCATAAATGATCGTTTATTGACAATGAGAATCTACAATTGACTTTTGATGGAACGTAGAACAAGAAACGATTTTTCATGTGGATGGTACAAGAGTGATCAGAATGATAATGTAGGTGAAAATGGTCACGAAGAAAGACAGCCATTCAATGATGGCAGCGAAATGTCTCCACGACGATTCCTTCGGTTCTCTTCCAGATTTTGGTAAGTCTGAATTATCCTCGCCTTCTCCGCCCAATATTCCCGTGGTAGACAATTTGGAATCGTCGTCAGTAAGAATAAGAAAACGCCCAGCTCTGTTACTCAAGATGAACGATGTGGTCGTAGAGATCCAATAGGGCATCTCGATACTCATTTCTTGCATTTTACGGAGTGCAGCGGTTAAAACTAAGGCGAACACGGCTAAAGCTAATGAATCTCGGTAGTACAGTACTGAAAGAACAAGTATTTGATCTGTTACGATTATTACGTTGATTACAAGATGAGTTGCCGGCAAGCAAAGAGCAGGATATCTACTTTGATAGTCTAATAGAATATTTCAATGTGACGGACGTGGTAGAATGGTTGGATAAGATATTTGCATGAGTTATGCGAATGTAGAATGGAATTATATTTCAGTAGTATTATATGTAGCTAGCATTATGTAACAAATACTTACATATATTTGGAGGATTGATACCATTGTGAGGTAGCTGCCAATGCAAATCGAACATACAAAGTATATGGCAGATTAAGTTCACACCGGCCACAGCCATTCTTTCCGTTGATCTCGAATCCAACCAAAGTACAGTTAACGTAAGTAACATCATCGCTATAGCAGGTGTGATATACGTAGTATGCATTACACCATAATGCCGACTTATAGCGAACTCATAAACGATCATCGGATAAGTATCGTTTGGACAGCATTTATATTTCCTTAATACTTTGTACGCGTTTAATACTTTGAAATCCCACTCGGTATTATTCGCGAACCCATCCATTTGGAACTATCAAATCACGTAAGATTAAATATTAACGTCATAGATATTAATCCTTCATAGACATAGAACAAACTGGGACGTCTGCGTCCCACGTCCAATTCTTTTATTATTCTAAGCTTTTAAAAATTCTGGAATATTTATTGAAGCTTGTACTATGTTACACAATCGGTTTTCAGGTAAAATGATTAAAATGTTTCCCGGGACAATTAAAGATTCGCTTGGAAGAAATTCACAAATGAAATTTCACTCGGTGTACGAGCGACTTAGGTTGCCTACGAAGAATTAATATCAATTATTTAAGATATCATAAATTTTCTCGAATTTCGCTCAAGGAGTCTATCAAAATTCTATTGCCTTATTTCGCTAGCTTTAGAATTTCGAAAATATTTATGAAAATTGGAACTATTTCAACTCAATACCAATTACCGCTTTCTTGTCTAGATTAAAATTCACTTCCTCCCCCGAATGAGACCACGAACCAAAATTAATTCGACACCGATGCGTGTCGTAGGGCCATGAAGCAAAGTCTGTGGCGCATTTAGCAACGTGCATCACCGATGGTACACAGCTAACCGATCCTGTGTTGAAGACCAAACATGTCGTCGGTGGTATACCGGTCTGGTCGAACATCATATCACCACTATATAAAAGAAATGAGATATTTAATGATTAACAGACCGGTACAGATAGATACCTACAAACGATAACCTTACATATATTTATATCTTTTATTTCGGTCAAAAGGAAATTAAGTTCAAGAAAAATTAATATTCTAGCGCTTCTAATGCTTATAATTGAAATATCGATGATTTTTCAAAATCGGAGAGCACAAGATGAGTGGAAGATTCTATTTTAATAAAAGGACCAATCTTGATTTCGTATTCCAATTAAAATTCATATTTTCGATGTCAATTCCTATTATTCTAAGATTTTTGAGAATGCTTGAGAATATTTTTTGAGAAATGTAATGACGATCATTCTGTTGCTTACGAATTATAAACGGAAATATCAGGAATCCAAATGCTATCGCTTCGTACGTGAATAAAATTGATTCCATCAAAGTCACTGGGCTTCCAAGACAGATGAGCGTCGTTCCAAACCTACAAAGAAAAGTGTTTGAATTCTTCTATGAGAAATACAATAAATAAGTAAGTAAATTAAAGAATAAACGTCACTTACGAGCGTCATCCAACTGTGCAGTGTCATTCTGCCATTCCAATCATCCTAGAGACCGATTCCAGCAAATAATAACACAGACGTACAATAAGATCGAGATCTTTAGATTGTGAACAATTTAAATAATTTTGAAAAAATATATTTTCTATTTTAATCGACGCTTACGAAATCCAGGATTTTTGGTAGTAGTTGCATGGTGACGTTGTTGGCAACTTGATGAGACAGAGTCGGTCGAATACTATTATCATATTCACAAAATAGGAACCTCTTCAACCTCAACATTGGCGGGACGGTGTCATGACTTTTGCAATTGTATGCAAGTTCGACATCCTCGATGAAAGCAATTGCTGAGACAGTATTTGGAATCGAAATGAAACTTTTTGAATGGCAGAACTCTGAAGTAGTAGGGTTGTAATAATAAGATCCTCATAAATCTCACGAACAATAAAAAAAGTAACAAGGAGTAATTATAATATTAAAATAATAATTTGACGAATTTTGTTAATATTAACAGAGAACGAAAATTAAATTTACAAATTACTTAATAGTGGATCTTTCAACGATTTGGTTACCACTAAAAACATCCATACATTACGTAAAACTGAATTTTTAAAATGATCGTGGCTGTTATTATTAAAGCATGAAGCTTATTATCATCTTAAACGATGGGCCTTTGTATCTTTTTGAAAGATTCAGAATTCGAACTAAATATAATATGTTCCTTCATACCACTAAAGTTGTTAACATTTATTTTTAAACAGAATGATAGTAAAACACCGGATAGAAAAATTCTGACTATTATTCTAGAATAATATCAAGAAAAATCATAGACAGAACACAATTTTTATAATTTTTTATTTCCTGTCTTAAGTTAAAAGAGAGAGGTGACAGCGATAATCGATGACACTTTACCCGAATTATAGCCAAGAAGAAGGAAGCATCCAAGCACCGTTTGTATTCTCATTTTGATTGAAATGAGCCAACAGCCATCAGTCGACTGAACGATTTCTCGTTCGTAGCAGAACGATTATCAGACGCCCCGTGAAATTCGAAGCTACAGATACGCGAGACGCCCCCAGGGTGGTTCAATACTTTTCAAATATTTTCAGATAGAGTAATAATAACGAGAGAATTCACTATACACAAGCAGTCTGACTAGCCGACAGAATTTTCGATGAGTTTATTCAACCGTGTTCCAGAAGAGTTATCGTTTTCATTGTACGATGATTCGAAGCATAATTTCTAAAATACTTTCGCGATCAATCACATCATACTCGCATTGTATAGGATTAAATTCACTTCTTCTGATCATATTATCCATTAAACAAATAATAACTCCTCTTATCAAATCAAAATAAATATTTCGAAAGTCTTCTTATTTCAAAAACACAAAATTCCATTTAACAAACGATAAAGTAACACATTCTATTAAAACAAAGACTCGGTTCATTCATGTACATGTAGTCTGTTAACTATGCATCATATCCATTCAATGTAAAAAATTGTACAACATATAATATAAGTTTATTTGAAAGATAAAGAGAAAAACACGAGCAACTTCGTGTATTTCAATATATTTTAAAGAGTACAAATGTACTATATAGAGAACATTTTAACCATGGAAAACAGTATAACAAACATATTAATACTACGGTAGAAATCTCTATAATAGCCTTCATAACAAAAAGGTTAACATCCTAGTCGCGATATCCGGCGGAACAAGTTCCCTCATTGTTGGAATGAGTTCATCGCTACAGTTTCTCCCGTACGTGCTTACAATACCGATAAAGTAGCTATTTGGACATGCGTAGTACTACGTTTTCTTTTATATACAACCTACACGCGCTGAACACCAGTCTGCCGCGCGTCTTCGTGCGACCGGACAGTAGTTGTGTAAATATATTTTTCCTCTGGCCATCGAAATCAATTGGAACAATACGTGAACGAATCGAGTGAAGGATCAGGATCGAATTGCTGGGAAAAATATGAAATACATCGGGGCACTCGACGTGGGCACTACTACCGTGCGTTTTCATATAATCGACGAAGAAGCGAACACGATTGCTTCCTCAGCGGAGAAGGTTCGTTATGTTTATTATCAGCTTTCACTTAAGATCAACGAAGAGATATAGATCTGCTGACAACGTTCATAGTTTTTGATTTCTAACAAACGAAATTTATAACAGTTTGTTAGAAGATTTATTTCAGAGCGTGATAAATAATGAAGCGAGTATGATAGATTTTGATGATTGGAAGAATTATTTGGAGGATCTTAGACTTTTTTTTGAACCTCTTCGTTCGATAGTGATCACGTAATTCAGTGTCGTTGCTTATCTTGTATTAACAAGTTTCTTATTTTCTAACTGGGACAGGTATTCTAGAGCGAACCTTAAGTCTTAAATTACAAATTCAAGTTGAAAAGTCAGAAATACACAGAAATGTTGAACTAACTTTCAAGTCAATATGCAACTATATGGATGAATCGATAGCGATAGATTATACAGGAGTGTCTTATTCTCACACATGTAAGAAACTATTTAAAATATTAATAATTCGTGTACACGTGTACATGCTTGCGATAAGCATTCATACATTGATAATATGTGCATAAACGGAGCATACATTTTTTACTGTTGGTGTTACGATGTGTTATCACGTAACAGCTTCTTTTACATAAGATAAAGCATTTTATATCTAAAGACTGTTTCTTGACTACCTTAGCTAATAGAAAAGGTAATAACCTTATCAATCTCTCGATTACGTATCACTGACAAAAAAAAATAAAGCTATTGAGTGATACAACCGAATCGATTAATTAAAATTTTAAAATATTTCCAGAATACACAATATATTAGTTACACGCAACAGCGATTCGGAAGAACAGTATCTCAATCATAGCAACAACTGTATAATTATATCCTCCGTTGGAAAGAAACACTTGCCATAATAACACGAATAATTCTATTTATATCATAGTATGTTATAATTACTTATCTATCATCTTTAAATCGCTATCATCAATACGAAAGAAGATATTCAACTAAAAATAGTCCATCGCATTTAAACAGCAGATAGAATATTATAATATTGAGATATGAATGGTAATTGTAAAGGAACGATTTAAACATTTTAAATAAACAAATAAAGAAAAAAAATGTATAAAAATATGTGAAAGTAATATGTTACAAATAGAGAAATTCTTCTAGCTTAGAAGATTACAAATCGGAAGATGTTACATAAATAATACAAAGAATTACTAATGACCTTCTCACTTTGATCTCTGCTTACGTAGTAATATAAATCGAATAAATTTTCCCGTGTTATTTTTCTATTCAGAATTTATCATGACTGTAATTCTCTCTTACTTTTAACGAAATTGTCGTTCGTCGTTTAAATGGATGAAGCGGTTTTGACGGTATTACATTCTGTCTACATTTGCTTTCTTGTCGCAGATGAGTCGTGACAATATGATATCAACAATGGAAGATCCTGATGATTTAACGATATCACACGTTCTTAGATGCGTCATTAATTACATTATGACAATATTGTATTTGTCGCTGGCAACTGCTTTTTGAAAAGATAACGTGTCAGTAAATGTGTGTTGGCATTACTTTGTCGTTATTTACCAGCTTTTACCCGCGACAAAATATATTAAATTATAAAAAGACTCGATTTCAGAACAAACACGACGTAAACAATAACCATCGTTGCTTGATCTCTACAAATAATCTGCATATAAAATTTTTATTCAAAATATTCAAATTTCTATTATCCGAGCTAGTATAGGATACAGTTTCAGTTATATAAACACATATTCTTATAAGGGACATATTAATATATAATATTATAATATGGAAGTCACAGGTGGAAAATATGCTAATTCAATCATGAATAAAATTTACAAGATTCATTTAATTAGTGACATAGAAAGGCGAACGAACTTATTACGCGATCTAACGCAACTAAAACGTCTAATTCCTTTATTCTTTTAAATACCAGGTTCAACTTTTATATCCAAAGCCGGGCTTCGTAGAAATAGATCCAGACAAGCTATGGACGATCATCGTGAACGTAATAAAGAACACTTTAAAAGGTAAGCTTTAGTGATCGAATAGAACATTGTAGTATCGAAGAATCGAAATTATTTTTTTCTTTTATTGCTCTAGAGGCCAAAGTGGACCCGGAATCGATCGTTGGTATCGGTATTTCCACGCAACGAGGTAGCTTTACGACATGGAACTCGAAAGATGGAAAACATTATCACAAGCCAGTATAACCAACCATTCATTATGCATTTCTGTAGTTTTTTTTTATAAATGTTCGAACGTTTTATTTTACGTTTCAGCTTTATCACGTGGAAAGATCTACGTGCTGACAGCATAGTGAAGCAATGGAACTCGTCGTTGACGATAAGAGGATTGCGAATAGGATCGTACATTTTGCACAAGATTCTGGGCGAAAAACGATTCTTGTTGATGAGTGTTTTTAAATTCCTGAATACACAGGTTCTTGTCTCCTTTAAATTTTCACAAAATTACGTGCCTTCTTTGCATCTTGACATTATTCTTTTCATAATAGTTTAGAAAAAGAAAATTTTGTCTGCTTCCGAATGGAACGTGAAGTACGAATTCTGAATGAAAGATGAAAAATGAGAATTGTAATCACTTCGTTTTCAACGATTGATCTACTATTTTCATTTTCGGTAATTATGCTCAAAAGCGAGCCTCATCTCCGATGATCTTGACCTTGAGATATATTGTAAAAGGGAAAGATTCTGAGCAACGTGCACTTCTTCTTTTGGACCTCCCCATCTCCCATGAAATCTAATCCAACTTACCACTATTATCGCAATACTACACAAATGCAATTTCATCTTTAAACGCCATATAGTTTGGAGTAAATTTAATCTAACAATATAATCTAACCGTTTTCTTTTTCTCGTAATTTTTAAAACAAGATCGTCCCACACCTGGGACAAAGTGCATGTTGCTCAGGACCCTCCCCTTTACGATATATTCGAAATTCAACACAATGGGAGTTGAAGCCTCTTCTTATGCATAATTGTCTCGTTTTCAATCGATTTTGAATCCTGCTGATCACTTAAATCTGAGTTAGTCTTCTGTAATCGAAATTTTATTTGCTTATTGAAAAGAAATGTTATAACTGTGTATGTACATTGCTATTTTTCACTCTGTTATGAATGAAAGATTATCCTAATATAATGATAGAATACAGTAGTATAGAGTGATAGGAAATAAAATAATATTCAGAACACGTAGACGGTTATGAAATTTTGATTTACATATCGTTTATTTTTTGCTACTTGTTTTGCGATGCAACTTAGATAACTCTAAGGTTATTGTGGGCTCTGCAAAACGTGCCAGGTTTGCAGGAGGCGGCGAACGACGGAAACGCCTTATTTGGAAGCATTGATTGTTGGCTTTTGTATAAACTTACGGGTATTCATTTCAACATTATATTTTAAAAGCATATATTTATTTTAAACGAGTAAAAACAGTTCATTTTATTATTTATTTAGAACGTTCAAGACAATTCAGTTTACCAAGACTTTGTTTCAATTTAATTATTAACTATACTTGTTTTAACTTTTAATATCGTCACACCAAGACGTATTATCTTAAAACGATGAAATAAAAAGAGAATCGATGAGAATAAGTAACTTTCTTATTTATATGTAGTAGCATCTTTGAAATAATGTATTTTTTCTATAGGAAAACACGTGACAGACGTTTCGAGCGCAGCAGCAACTGGACTTTTCGATCCATTTCTTATGACTTGGTCTGACCTAATGATGAGACTTCTGGGAATTCCATGTAATATGTTTCCGGAAGTAGTTGATACCAGTAGGAATTTTGGCGTTATCCCAAAGGACATATTTGGTGTTGAAATTCCTATATTTTGCTCAGTAAGTTGTACTTTATTTTACTTGTAACTTTATTGTAACTTGTAACTTTATTTTAGAAGTTGAAACGGCCGAACAGTTCTCAATATCAGATATTTTGTTTATAATAATGTAATTTTTTAACAATGTAATTTGAAACAGATGGCAGATCAATCGGCCTCGCTGTTTGGTTCCGGATGCATGCAGCCTGGAGATTTGAAAATTACTCTGGGAACTGGGACCTTTATGAATGTGAACTCAGGAAGAAAATTACATGCTTCGGTCGCAGGTGATTTTTCCATTAGAATAATTAATTGTTTTATTTATTTCTAGCAGAATAATATCGTTAAAAATCGCAGAACACAAACAGATGAGATTATTCTGCAGTCATGCTTCTAGAAAAAGAATAGACAATCTAAGTATTAGTAAATTTAAAAGATAAATGGAATCATGATTTTTAATCTTTTTCTCAATAGGTTTGTATCCTGTGGTCGGATGGCAGATAGGCGATGAATTAGTATACATGATAGAAGGTGCATGGAACGACACTGGAACTATTGTCGAATGGGCCAAAAATATAGGTAATTTCTCTTAACGAAATTTTCGAGTACATCCACACTGTCATTCGCAAGTAATATGATCTGAAGTAATACGATCTAAATTGGTTAACAAATCGTTGGAATTTTAAAGACTTAGTTCGTTTCAGGTATAATCGACAATCTTGCTGAAACAGCGAAAATTGCAAACTCAGTAAACGACTCCGATGGAGTATATTTTATTCCCGCATTTAGCGGTTTACACGTAAGTTCAATGCTTTAAAAATCATGTTCATAAAAATGAAGAAGTTTTAATTCGATGAAATCGATTGGATTAAGAAAATTCCTTACAATTTATTTACAGATTCCAATAAATGATTACACAGCAGCAGCAGGTTTTATAGGCATAAAACCTACTACAAATAAAAGTCACATTATTCGATCGTTGTTAGAAAGCATCGTTTTCGGAATAATGCAACTTTTCTACGTACTAGGCGAAGAAACTAACTTCACTCATCAGAAAATACGGTTAGCAACGAATTCCTTATGAAAATCACGTTAGACATGAAAAGAATATCCAAAAAATTTGAAATATGCACTAACAATACTTCCTATTATTGTGTTAATTTTAATTCTGCTTTGCTATTCTTGTCATAGGATCGATGGTGGAGTGTCAGCAAACGATTTTGTGTTGCAATTATTAGCCGACCTAACAGGTCTTGACGTAGAACGAGGGACAACCACGGAGATGTCTATTTTAGGAGTGGCATTTCTCGCTGGTTTACAATGCGGTATGTAAATTGCTAGACCGCATTGAACTCTCTACAACTAGAATCCTTGTATCATAAATAGCCACAACAATAACTTGAAATGGTCTACCATGTTCGACTTGTATTTTTCATTATTCTGTTCCTCATTCTTACACAAATTTAACCCAAACTATTGTGATCACATATGTTAGTATCGTGGTCACATCGGTTAGAAACTGAGCCATAAATTAAATTGTATCTGTTTGAAACGTAGTATTATACGATGCAAAATCTAGCATAACATGCCTTTTATTCTACTTTCGCACCGTACAATAATGGAGAAAGTTCGAAACAGTGCGCTTATTTAATCGCACTTTCTCGCGTAATACAAAATGTAGAGAGGCTAATAACGTGAAACTATATTATTTCTTTCCTCTCCTACGTTCACTGATAACCCTTCTGCTTTCCATTTTAATTATATTAACTTTAATTATACTTTAATTATTCGCTTATTTAGGCGTATGGAAGAACAGAGAGGATGTAGAAAAACTTCGAAAAACAGCAAGGATATTCCATCCAAATAAAGAGAACATGATTCGTTATCAACCGATAATTGCTCAATGGAAACAAGCTCTCGAAAGATTCGGCCGATGGTATTCTCGAGATTCGTAATTGACATTAAGTACATAACAAACGAAAAAGAAAACGTTGTACGAGTGAAAAATACATTAAGAAATGCGATATCCTGTGACAGCAAAAATTTATTAATAATATACTTGCATATTGATATTTGTATACTGTCGTAATAAAACTTGTATTTTTATTAAAAAAAAGCAATATAATATTCCTTTAAATCCACAAGAAAATAATCACGGTTCTAAAAAATAAATATATCCCTGTTCAATTACACATTCTATTCGTAACAAATATTTTAGTGAAAGAATTCATTATTATTTAAAAAAATTAAAAATTTCCTATATGTCCATACCTAATTGGAAATAGTATTGAATTGTCATATCTACATATATACTTAACAAAAATTGCAGTTACACGCTTGATGAAAATGGTACGAAAATTCTCGGCATACTTCTATATTTTACTTCTGTGCGCCTTTATTTTAAAATTAGTAGATATACGTCCGACAAAAGTTGCTCGTATCGTATTAACAAAAAAGACAGGAGAAACGTTTAAATTATTAATTTGGTTCGAGAAAAGTCGGGCCGATCGAACGAAGGTTAAAGGTAATATGCCTGACATTGAGGATGGGTGGTCCTGAACGCATAAGAAAATTATATATTAGTCTGCGAAGTGAAGACATTTTATACTGATATTTGTGTGATTTTTCATGGAAACTTCACCTGTGATATTAAAGATTTCCATTGCGTTAAATGCACTTTCACATTCTGGTTAAATTTTTATTTTTCTGACACGACCCACTTGTCCACGTGTTTCATGAGAATACGAAATTACCAAATTGAAGATTCGTAAGAGTTTCAAATAAGATATAACTTGATCTGAAAATTAATGCTGATTCAAAATCTAATTCGAGTAGTCGAGGAATAAGAATTTATCTTACAGAAATATGTCCGAATCATTTTTAAAGATATATTTTTTCCTCTAAATTTTGATCGATTCGATAGTTTTTATCGTAAAGCAGCTTGAAATAAATCAACATTGATATTTTTAGAAAGTTGAATAAACCAGTTTTCTAATATTATTATACAATTATGGCGGAGATTGCGTGATAGACTTTCCCGATTACGTTTACTTCATACAAGTTTGTCCGCACAGGATACATCTGCATCCGCAGAGAAAGTGCCAAAGAAAGTGAACCGAGAAGTCACATTTCACGAACGATCTAGGAAAGTAGGAAATAAAAACGTGCAACTCACTGGAAGAAAGACAACCTCTAATTTAAAGATTGAGCTGGAGAAATTGCGTCGCATTAATTTATTTACATTTCTTAATTTTGCAGCTTAAAATGTCGGCAAGAGCATCTTAAAGTATTTTCTTATTCGAATAATGTCAAATAACTCACACCTGAATGCTATTAATGCAAATTCATTCGCATATTATTTAGTTTAAATATTATTCTACTCCAAGAATTCACAAATTTTACTTCATTGTTATCTTACTATTATCTATTATCGAAACCGAATGAAGCTTGTTAACGTTTAACGTTGAAAATATCGATCCAAATACTCGGACGATAATCGCCGATACGGCGTTTGTATGCAAATAAGCACGACCTCGACTTTTTAAATTCAGCGTAATGTTTCTAATGAAGTTCCAGTTCCCACCAGTCGTTCTATCATTATAGAAATCGACATTCAGTCCTTGATTTTCATCGATTACGTTTGAACGATCGATCGCGCGACGATATTCCCCACAGTACCTCAACAATAATCATCGCATGTTTGTTGGAAAAGTGTACTGGAAAATTACTTGCAACGCATAAGCTTCCCATAATAAACCGTGAAATATGACTGATCAACAAAAATCAGCTATGGTGAGTACAATATTCGCATAGTATGGATTCAAACCTTATGATATTTTCTTCTTTCGTTCAGGAATTCGCTAACAATCCACCTTATCAGTTAATTTTTAATAAATATGATAAAGTCGATCGATCACGCTACCTTTTTCTTTATAAGACAAATCTGAGTAATTGAAAACGACGGTTTATCATCATCGTCACGTTACATAAACAATAAAAAAAAATGTGACGATATTGGTAAATAAGGAAAAAGTCAAAAAATGCAAAAAGTCGTGTTATTCAAAATAAAATATTGTGAGTGCAAATATAATCTATATCTACGATTAAAAAAGAGAAGCTTCTTGAATTTTTATGAAAAACGCGGCAAGAAAAATTGTTCAGGGTCAAATCGAAGAGAACTAATAACACGATATTCTGATTTAACGAAACCGGCAAGTCATCGCATTTGAAAAAGTAAGCTTAAAATAGAATGACTTGTTCTGGTCATTAAATTCTTCAAAACTCGTGTATGTTTCGATCACGAGAGATCGTTTGACATTTATTTAGATAGTTTGCATATGTTAATTTGTTTCTGTACCAATGAATCTCATATTCCTAACAAAATTAGTGGCATTGTCAATTGTATCTTCCGTTCGCATAATGTCGTATAATTTCAATTTAGATGAGATGGACAGTTATGAATAATAAAATTGAAAATAGTTGATAATCGGAGAATACAAGGAAATAATGAAACGTTTAAATTGAAGCGTTGTGACAAAGAAAGGGAATTTATCGAGAAAGCAAAAATAACTTGGTGTGATAGACATATCGAAGGAAATAATTTAAAGAAGAAACAGTGATGAACTGCGGAAGATAAAAGATTTTTATGAAAAATGAGAGAAAAATCTGAAATGAAACGGAAACGTTTCAGATTCTTTTAAAATTAAGAATAAAATATCTTCATGAATTTAATTATTTTCGCTACAAAATTACAAACAACATTTTAATAATGGCGTTGAAGTCAGAGGAATATAAATTATAAATGATGAATGTTGAATATTAAATTTTGATTCTATTAACAAATTATATTATTTCAGCAATAACTTAATTGGCTATTGTAAGTTGGCATAGTAAGTTGATAAGGAAGTCATTAAGCTTGAATGAAATATAATGGATAGAATATTATTAAAACAAAATATGAAAATAACATATAGTTCAATTCCCGTCTACTATTTGTTATAATTAAATACATGTATATACAATATATTGAAATGTATGGAATTTGTATTTTAACAGCACTGTTTTATTTGTGCTTAAATTTCTACGATACGGCAAATCAATATACCTGCTTTTGAGCAAAGCATTCGTTTCAGAGAAAGGAAAAGTAAAAGTAGGCTGGTCACGTGGGTATTTCTTAGCACTTTCGTACAAATTATTTATATCGAATTGTTTATATTGGTTATTTTAAGACGTTTCGTATCTGGAACTGTTCCACATTTCTTCGTTTTCTTTATTTTTCTTTATTTCTTTATTTTTCTTTATTTTTTATTTCCATGTATCTTCACCTTTTTAATATAAAGTAGAAAAAAAGAACAAATTACTCTTAAAACTATATTTAATTGCATGCTTAACAAATATTGTAGTACCCTAAAAACAAAGCGAAACTTCGAGAAGAAGAAAAAGACAAACAAAAATTTAGATAGCGATTATCGTAAATTCCTCGTCTTCGACCTCTCATGTTTGTATAGCTAATTCTTTTCTTATGTTCCGAACATCATTCTCAAATGGAATTGCCATCGTGAAAATTTCATCGTTAGAACCACCAATCCTTTTACTTTATTTTCTATCGCGGAACCCGTTCGAAAAGGATACTTCTCTATTCAGTCGTGATACAGCTGTATGAAAGGCAACTTCGTCTTTTCGACATTCGTAACATGACTAGTTAAAGATCTTGGAGGCGCGATTATTTCGTAAGTGCTTTTGCAATTAATTACGTCTGTGTTACGCTTTAAGAAGTATTTCCTACTACTGATAACCACTTGATTTCATCGTTGGAAAAATTTCGCGTTAATGGTAAACTATGTACGGTGTAATTTAACTGACAAAAAGATCAGTTACATAAACTTGAATTTAGTTTGAAGCAATTAATGTTTCGAACAATTATTGAGTCGTGTGTTTATGTACATATGAACAAGAATCATATATGTATACGTTTACAGAAACCTTTTATGTGAATATACCATGTGTGTTAATAGGAAACATTTTTCAATTTCATTAACACTGTAATGACTATTCTGATCAGATTGGTGAGATCGAAAATAAAACTGAAAATTTGCAGCTTCAAAAAATTCGTTCACGAAATAAGAGAAAACGACTGTTAAAACGATCAAAATTACCGTGCGTATTAATAACGATGGATTAACTACATTTCCTACGCACCAGATGACGAAATTGTAATACTTTGTTCCGTTCCTAAGCCTCAGATAAAATATTTTTTTTCTATGAAATATTGATCACTTGGGATTATCTCGAGTGACTACATAATTTGAATATTCTGATTCAGCAAATGTAATGTTCTTATGATTAGAACAGAAATCAAAATAAAAAGTACGCAACTAAGTTCTCAACTATTGTTAACAATAAGATTTATCGATCGTTAAGTCTCTTATCTACGATAATGTTACGAACCTTAAATAATATAAAAATATCGAAACTTATCAATTTAAATAATAGATTGTTTGGTTCTGTGATATGTAAACTTCGCTAATATGCTAATTGATACGGTTATTTTCAGAGAGAAGTGGTGCTTGAAATGAGTGATACGAATGGAGAACCAATTCGTCCCAAGTTACAGAATATAACGCCAGTCGTAGAAGAGCACCGGATCGATATAGAGTCAGAATTACCAGACGACGACAAGTCCAGTGAGTGATCTCGATTAACATTATTATTATTAATCTTTCATTCCTCGTTCTTCGTATCTTCATCCATATAATATATAATGATATATGGTAATAAATAAATATAATAATCGAGATGATTAATGATATGGTTTTACGAAGGCTTTAAAAAGATCCAACGATGATAAATCGATAAATTTGAAAGTGATTATTTTTGAGACCACGAAGTAAAATTTAACAAATGTGAATATATAATTCATTGCCTTAGGTTCCACGTCGCATTAAATTATAAGAAAATTCTTCATTGTATTATTTAATGAATAATTATTACGATGTTTCGACTTTTGGACGTCGATCGAGTAAGATCAATCTGTCTATGACGAATAAAATATAGTTAATGAAAATAAACTTGTTTAACAGTATTTCTTACGCGGAGCAATTTAATTGTAGTTATGATTATCATATACTGGAGGCCAGTATAAAATTACTTCTTATATATATTATATAATGGGAATACTCATTCCTTTATCTCTTTTATTTAATGGGTCCTAGAGAAAAATGGTGTAAGCAACAAAATCTTTAATTTTGCATTAGACAAAACTGTGAATAAAGCTAAATTTCAATATTTCTATAAGGAAAAACAATCGGTATGCTTCCAACATTGAAACATTTAGACTTTTCTATAATTATTATTTCTTTTAGTATAAGAAAGAGAAATCTCAAAGAAATATTAATTCCAATTTTTATTCTATTATAATTTCGATTCATACCTGTAATAGTTAAAAAATAAATTCGCAACAGAATTGTCAAAATAATATAAATAAATCTTCGTGCATCGTTTTTCTTTCTGCTTTCTTCAATGAAATTTGCTTTCATTTGTTTCTTAAGTCCAATTTGATAAAATCGAATTATCTGTGTTACGTGTCAATCCAATACGTTTGTGTAAGAGACGACAGGAGCGATGTCATTTCTATAAAATACGGTGCTGAGTTTCAACAGTTCCAACACTTCGAGGACGTATAAATTATTCTGTAAATCACTGATCCACGCTAAACACATATCTATCTTTAAACTTTCTTGACTGTCCATCTGTATGATTTTCGAACCAGCTGAAAGTTGCCACAGCTCTCTTATTAAGCAACGCATCATTACGTAGTAACGTAAAGCCGTAATACGTGAAGCTATGCAATGCGGAACTTGTTTCGATTTTTATAATATACTGTACTAAATTGTGCTAGTGGTTTTAGATATCGGTAATGGGATAAATTTTGCAGAAAAGAGCTACACAGAGCCAAAAAAAAAAAAAAAACGAAACTTAAATATAAATGTATTTCGTCTACTAAATATTATAACAAATACTCTACTATGGGTGTCTTACAAATTTTTTAATATTCTACGCATTCTGTACACCTTTGAACTTTTAACTTTCTCATAAATGTCCAACTCCAAGAGTCCTATACCATCTATTAAGATCTTAACATATTAAGTGTAGTAGATAAGGAGGGAAATTTAAGTAAGGATAACGTAATTAAAAAATATAACGTCGATCTCAGAAATTTGTTTACTTCGTCTCTAAGCAGCGGTAAACGCCAAGCTTTGTTATTATTAACTACAAACTCTAGATCTTTGATCGAATTTTTATCATAAATCTCCTCTATTATATATCTTTTAACAATTTCAAAAATTCGATCAAAAATCTAGTCTTATCGAAAGTTAAGAATTACTACTCCCGCGAATTTATTAAAAATCGTCATGTTTCAAAATTTTACTTGGCATTTTGAATTTTAAGAACCGACGAATATATATTCAGAATATTTTATCTCCGAATACCATCGGGCTTTTTCGCAGGCGCGAGTATCAAGGCGCTATGAGAAGGTATAAAAGCGCATGAAAACTTGTTCCAGTAGATTTGTTGCACAATTACGTTCATAGATCTGTCAGCGATAGAACCTAATCGTTTGTGCGCGGTCAGTTCAGTGATCATCTAGACATTGAAGAAAATATATAAGATAAGAGAAATATATGTGACTTTAGTTCTATTAAAGTGCGTATACCTAACGATAGTACACAAGTAACAGTGTTTCATAAATATATTTGCAACTGAAAGGTGAGTGGCAGAGAACCATTTTTTAAACTTTAGAACAGTAGGAATTCTATCATAGATGTAAAATGATTAAGCAATGAATAAATATTGCAAATTTGTTTATTCGAATTCCTTGTTCAAATAATTGAACGTTGAAAGTAATCACCTTCTTCACATTTTTATGCTATTTGAAAAATTGTCTGCCTTATATATATTCATACTAAGAGTGTATTATGTGTTTTTAAAGACTAGTTATCTTGCATGAGTTGGAAATACGTTGACGTTTTATTTATTTTCTTCCTGTACGTAGCGTATTACGCAAGAACTTTTAACAAATCAAACACTTGTAGTATTGCTCTATTATCTCAATATATGAAAATGCTAGTGAGCTAGACGTATCTGCTTATTTATATATACAGTACTGAACATAAGTATTGGCACGCCTACAGACGGAATAATCTTCTTTAAATTCTACCAAACAACTTAGGTTTCTTTGAGAAGTTAGAGTTAAAAGGATTAGTTTATTAAATGATATGCAACAAAAAATGCGTAGAAAAAATTACAATTGGTTGAAACCATGATGGAAATAATAAAGGTCCTTTTCTATAATTTTTTTATCTGAACTTATAACGAACATTTGAAAAATACTATATTTATATAATTGTTATAAATTACAAACGGTTTTCATCAATGGAAAATCTCAGTTTCCCACGATCTTCTGCCTATAACTATAATAAATCTAAAGATTTGTACATTTTTTGATGCCTGTAGCTTGTTATTGCATCAACCGAATTCAATAATATTTTCATTATAGGTTCAGATAAAAAAGTTGTAAAAAATAACCTTTATTTTACCGATCAATTACAATTGTCTTAAAATTTAAGAATAAAACCTTTCCTTCTCTCTATTTTTTCTCAACTCTTTAATAAACTAATTTTTCTAATTTCTCAAAAAGATTCAAATCGTTTAGTCCAATCTTAAAAAAGTTTTAAAAGTTGTACCAACACTTATGCTTGGTATTGTATATGCATTATATGATAATTGTGTTAAAATTTCATATTCCTGCGTAATTATCGGACTTTTTGTGCCTTCAAGGAAAAAAGCGATACAGATCGTCGCAAATCGAAGAATAGGATAGCAATAAAATATGAGCTGTGTAAAAATTACGGTGGAACCGTCAGTAAAGTTTTACAATAATGTTAATGGTATGAATTTTATGAAAAAATATGATGCACCGTAGTATGTTCTGGCGCACATCTTTCTTTTTGTTGTTTTATGTTTCTTTACTAACCTGTCACAAAATTTGAATTTCGCGCGCGAGCGATCGCAAGAAAACGCGCTTATAATTCTGTTCAGCTATATACTTCGATAATTCTGTCGTAACTACTTAAATTTATCGTACAATAGCATAAAACAATATATTTGCTATATTCATCGCTCACGTATATTGAAAACAAATTGGCGATGACTAAAATTAAGATCTACCTTCGATTAACAGAAATCTGAAAGTAAAGTTAGGAAATTCTTATTTATTCATTCATTCAAAGAGTGAAAATTGCATTTTTAGTCAGCTTAATAATAAAGTCAAATTCCTAAGTTTTCGATAAAACAAATATCAATTGAGATTGGGTTAATAAACATACCGTAAAATTAACCTTTACTCAGAATTTCAAGATTAAAATTTGTTACATCATATTATATTTATCGTAACGTCCAAGTTTATGAAAGTAATCATAAATCTCAATTAAACCGTTCTTTTAAAACATGATGCTGACATTCCATTGACTCTCAGATTGACTTTATTTACAACGTAAAAAATAGAAAATTATTTTTTACATGAAATACAAGACAAGGCATCTAACTTCATAATTTCGAATTACTCGAAAATTACTTACTGTACGAAGAAATGTTTCAAATAAAAGTTCAGTAACGAAAGTACATGATTTGATACTGTAATTTATTTTTCGACAAATGGACGCGAAAAATTATTCTTCGAAATATAATTTCATTTAAAAGACAACCTCACTTTGACACCATTCAGCTTTTGAAAGATTTCTTCATACAGTAAGTAATGTTTTAGTTGCTTTTTATCTGATTGCAAAGTGTAAATTAATTTTTATTTGTATTCTATTGTAAATTAAATCACTACAAAAGATAATAATTAGTTTTCAAAAGAATTGTTCAATAGTAATCATTATTACCTTGACAAGTTTAGTCTTCGTGACTTAATATACAGATATCTTTCCTTAATAAACAGAACATTTCTCCAAGCAAAATTTATCTTTTCTGAATCGGTAAAACAGTAACAATAATGTGATAAAAGTGCGACAAATATGACTGTATTCCTAGAATGTATTCTGACAACTATGGACCTTCCTCAGAAAATCTCAAATCTACTTCCGTTAACTTCTTTTGCGTTTATCATTCCACGCGATAACAAAGACGATCATATTACACATTCATAAAAATAAAAATAATTTTAATAATACCGTATTTAAACAAACTCTTTTGTTTAAAAAATTATAATAAATGTATTTATGTAGAAATTATACTAAAAGATAGGAGTATAATTTTTACTTAATAAAATCCCATATTTTAAAATGTTCTAGAACGTAATGTAATATGTAAATGAATATTTATATGAGAATGTAATAAAAGAGGTAGATATTTTTATTTCTGATGACTACCAATTTCGGTGATTGAATCGAATTTCTGCATTCACTGCTAAAAACTGTAGAGGGCATACCAAAGCAATCCCAGAACCTCTGCTTCACACGATCGGTATTTCAGAATATATAACATAAAGTGAGATAAAAGCACTCAACAGTATTAAATCTATCCTGTATTTCGTCCATGATTATTCTTTCCTCATTGCTTCACACAAAAACAAACGTGCTTGTTCAAAATTAAGTTTATTTTTATTCATCAGAGGACAAGTATATATGTACGTATATCTACATATATGATAAAAATAAGTTTAAATTCTTTCAATTTTAATTTTTTACTATTTTTAAAACATGTTCAGTTCTAATTATATTAGTAATTTTTTATTGTATTAATTTTTAATTAATAATAAGTATTTGTACGGAGATTCGGCACAATCAAATAACATTAATTATATTAGAAATATTTCTTCTGTACTTTATTATTGAAGATTTTTATCTATGCAATATAACGTTTTATTGTAAATCCACGTGTCTAAAATGTGTACAGGAAGATAGATATCATTACTTCCAAGAATTGATTCATGGTTTCACTTGCATAATTTAACATTTTATGATTCAATAAACTACGACTGTTGAAGCATAAACATACTTCCATCCTCACCTTCTATATAGTAATATACAATAAATATTTTTGATAATATTGAGATTTATTATAATTTTTTATCATAGATATTAAATAGCATAAGAACTAAAAATATTATACACAAGTTAAGAATATTAAATAAGTCTATTAGCGTATATGACGAATATTTTTTATTTCCGTACAAGTGTGTAATGCGCTATACGTATCTAAGTTTTATTTGTCGACGCTGATATCTTAATATGTATTCAAAGATGGAATTGCTTCGATCCTGTATTATTATAATACAGACATATCTGATTTATAGTCAAACTATAATCTCGAACCATTTATTATTCGAATGAATACGTTCTGTTTCACGTATTTTAAACTTTTTTAATTATATACATGTACATATGTAATTAGTTCTTTTTCAATTGCTTCACATAATCATATTTTTAAGCTGGTTTTATCAAATTTTGGATGTTATAAATAATAATAATAATATGGAATTGTGTTACAGTATATGTGAGAAATATTCAAATAATAATTCTTTTAATATATTACTGTACTATAATATACTTACAGAAATAAAATAATTTAAATATATCCTTCATTATTTACATTTATGAAAATATAAAAGTTTATTTTATATTTATGCATTATAATTTCTGCTATATTATAAATAATATTATATCATATATATTATAATATTTATTATTATATTATAATAAGAGATATACATAGTAACTATTATTATTATATATATTATATATTATATAGTCATTTATTTCTTCTGATTCTAGCACAAACTAAGAGGAAAATGACAGATTATGCAAATGTAAGTACACTGATTTGTTATTCTATTTCACAGAATAAAAAATTTATGTATCAAATTCTCCAGAAAAATATAAAAATAAAAAATTTCTTATTATGTACTTAAATCTACAATTTTTTTGTAGCTTGTTGAACGCACACGAAATGTATTTCTTAGTGGTAAAACAAGACCACTAGAATGGAGATTAAAACAATTAAAACAAGCACAACTTATGATAAAAGAATGCGAACAAGAAATTGCATCTGCTCTTGCTAGTGATCTGCACAAAGTTTGTATAATAACTATCCATTATATTTTACGTTCAAGTTCATAAATAATGGATTTCTTCCTTTGTAGTCTAAATTTGAATCTCTTACAACAGAAGTAATATTTACAGAAGGAGAAATCAAAGATTTGCTTACACATCTCAAGGAATGGTCAGCTGATGAAAAAGTATCTTCGATATTTTGTAACTTTTTATGCGAATCTAACTATCTTATTTAAATGGATAAATATATAATTCAACTATTTGTATCTTTTAGCCTCCAAAGGCAATAGTCAACATATTGGACAAGGTTGAAATTAAAAAAGATCCGTTTGGTGTGGTTCTTGTTATAGGACCATGGAATTATCCTTTCCAGCTATGTGTAGTTCCTTTAATGGGTGCAATAGCTGCTGGTAACTGTGTTATTCTTAAACCATCAGAAATATCCTCTGCCACATCAAAAGTTCTTGCAAAAATTATTCCAAAATATTTAGATCAAGTATGTACTCCAAATGAATTCTAATAGGAAAATGATTCTGAAATAATCAAAAAAAGATATAAGCATTTCTCACTATGTCGTAAAATAATATTGCACGTTCTAGGAATGTATTCATGTAGTGCTAGGAGGTGTTCCTGAAACAACAGAACTACTTAAACACAGATTCGATTACATCTTTTATACAGGTTCAACTACAGTTGGAAAAATTATTCGCAATGCGGCGAATAAATTCTTAACGCCAGTGACATTAGAACTAGGTGGTAAAAGGTATATTCATTAATATACTCTCAGTATACTATAGCACACTTCATAATATAAAAGTGATAAATAAATGCATTAATTTACAGCCCTGTATATATAGATAATACGGCGAATTTAGAAGTAAGCGTGAAAAGAATACTTTGGGGCAAGTGTGTTAATGGTGGACAAACATGTATTGCACCTGATTACGTACTGTGTACTGAGGAAATTCAAAATAAATTCATAAAAAAGGCAAAGGAGGTTCTCAAAGAATGGTATGGTGATAATCCCAAAGAAAGTCCAGATTTAACACGTATAATTAACGAACAACATTATAAGTAAGATTTTTATTATTTTTTATATATATATATATATATATATATATATATATATATATCCTATAATTTCACATTATATTGCATTCTATGAAATCTCATATTTTTACAGACGTCTCGTAAAATACTTAAATAATGGCAAAATAGCACTTGGAGGTGATTGTGATTCTAATGAAAAATATATCTCGCCAACTATACTCGTTGATGTCAAGCCTACGGATCCTGTCATGCAAGATGAAATATTCGGTCCAATATTACCATTTGTAAACATAAATAACGCTTACGAAGCAATTAACTTCATAAATAGTCGGTGAGTTCTTTACAAATAAATCTTTTCAATAATAAACATGCATAAAAATGTTCTACTAATAAAAATGCACAGAAATATTTTTTAATGTTTATAAACTTCTAAAATTATATGCACACTGAAGATTTATTCAATTTCATAAATTTCGTTAAAATATTTTATAAAGCAAATAACAAGAAATAATATATGGCAATTAATTCTTTACGTCTAGAGAAACCCCACTCGTACTATATATTTTTTCCAAGGACAGGAAAGTTCAAGATTTATTAATAACTCAAACTCGTAGTGGAAATGTAGGAGTAAATGACACGATAATGCAATATTGTGGTGAGTTAGGATATTAAGTGAAGAATGCTAGACTTTTTGCTAGTATATGGAATGAAGCTGTAAAATTTGTTTCAGCCCTTACAAATCCTTATTTTATCTAATATGTATTTATATTGGGGTTTTCTGTTGTGGTTATCGAATAATGTGCACATTGGTAATCGTCAAATATTAGGGATGGTATAGGTATATTTTTACGCGTATTGGGGCCTTTTTAGATATTAATAGAATACCTGTTGAATAGAATACCTAGTATATATTGTTCATTGTATATGTTCCATCCATACCGCTTTTCAAAATGGTGAAGGCATAAGATCCATAATCCCATATGAATATTTCATATTACCTAGTAAACCAAGGTGAAAGTTTGTCCTAATTTTATAAATATTAATTGCATTAAAAATGATTATCCACTCATATATTTCTCCTATGCTACAATTTGTTAAATTCTAATTAAATTACACTTAGATTCCCTGTATATTTGAAATTTTTTGTAAATAACATCTTTGAAATTGCATTCCATGATAGTACACATATAATATTGGTAATAGTAATTGTAAAATTCTTACTATACTTTAATGTTTATAATTCTTTGTAATTCGCTACAACCACTTGTACTAAACTTGCACTTGTAAATATAATACAAGGATTCAAATAGTTTGAATTCCCTACAGATCTTCAATTACAATTTCACTTGCTAATTCATAAATTGTGACATATTCTATACAGGGAGAAGCCATTATCATTATACATATTTAGTACTGAAGAGAAGACTGTATCGATATTTCTTGAAAATACAAGCAGCGGTAGTGTTTGTGTTAATGATGTAATAATGCATGTCACAGGTATCTTGATACAAATATACGTCTAGATATTTTTGTGTAATGTTTACACTTATGCATGTTTGCATGTATTGTTTTATGTTTGCGTATATTCGATAATTCCACAAAAATCGGGACTCAGGTGTTGCAATTATGCATTGGTAAAAACGACTCCGTTCGTCGAAATTGAAAGCTCAGATGTCTCCGATATAGAAAAGGACAACACAAGTGAAAGAGAAAGAAGGACTGAGAGTCAAAACGTTCGGCAATATATAAAACATAAAAGATCCGTGACAAGCTAAGACCTTTTTTTAACCAAAAAAATCAAACTTTCTGGAGAAAAATCAAAGATCTGGAAAATATGATAGTAAATGTTTAATTTAAAAAAGATTAAAAATAAAAAAGTTTTACTTCTGGATTGGATTCTAAATATATTGTCTCAGTGATATTTGACATTCAATCATTACACTACTCGACCGCCACGGGCCGTCGACTTCTCAGTGCGTCAGGGGACCTCGCTCCCGTAGTAGGAATGACGACTGTGCAATTATGTAAAAAATCTTTTTATGCAATTATCGAATATTTCCTGTATATATATATATATATATATATATACATACATATATACATACACACACAATAATTTTATATTGTACATATGTTTGTACTTTGTGTATATAATATCATAATATATTATGATATATTTTATATTTAATATTTAATGTATGAACATTAAATATCTGTCTTTCAGTTGACACTTTACCGTTTGGTGGTGTTGGTAATTCTGGTATGGGAGCCTACCATGGAAGATATACATATGATACTTTCGTGCACAAAAAAGGCTGCCTTATTAAAAATTTTAATAAGTTAGGAGAAACATTGGCATCGTAAGCAGCATTCTATAAAATTATATTGTACATAATCTAGCATAGGAATAAATTTGTAGAGAAATAACTATTGCTTGTAATTTATTGCAGATGCCGTTATCCGCCATATTCCGACAAGAAGTTGACTTTCATAGAATTTTTATTGGCAAAACGGCCTGATATACCGGGAATTAAATACGTTCCACATCTTTTAGCATTCGGTTTGGGAATTCTTGTCACATATGGTATTTCAACTGCTTTAAAGGTATATAAACCGAAGCGTATTTAGTGCACATATTAATCTATATTCGTAACAATTTGAACTATTATACATCACCGCACAAAATATTCGCCGCACAATGTATGCAAACTTTATAGTCGTAGAATTAATTTGTGGAAACTTAAATGTTGTAAATGGCTGAATGTTCCATTTTCATTCTAACTCAAGTGATTTACTATTGAAAACTTATGATCTTAAAGAATAGTTTATGCTTGAAATGATTTATGATAGTTAAATTTCAAAATCACATTTCGTTAAATTTTTATACATGTTTTTTTTATATGCTTCCATATAAAAATGTTTATTATGATCTATAATTAAAACGCCGCGAAACAACACGCACATTTAACGAATATTATCATTTATTATGTTAACACAACTACTGACGGCTCAATAAAGGCAATAAGTGTTGCTATATAAATCACCATTATTTTGTTCTTTCCTAATAATTAACTAACATACGAAAATACTTTTTCAGGTTCAAGAAGAAAATTATTAATGGACTTCTCACAATACTGTTACAAAAACTTGTTATCAATTACAAATTTCAGAACGTTATTTACGTATAATTTTTACCTATTCGTATTCTAAATTCGTACGTGTTTGCAACGAGTAAGAGAACTTTTAAATATTAAAATAAAAATCAAATACATTTCTGCAAAAATTTAGCTTTAGAGCTTATATACTTACACACGTATAAAATTTTAATAATCGCTATTTTAATATTATTAATACTGTACAAGTTACTAGAAGATAAATTAGCACAAAAGTTGTTCTTAAAAAAATCGTGTTTTTATGACATAATTCTTTCTTAAATATTTTATAGATAACTTGAGCTTCCACAATAACACATTGTATTTTTTAAAGATTACAGTAAGATTTATCAGTATATAAATTTGCCATAGTGTATATAGAATGTATAATGTGCAAAAATGTTGCCATAATGTTAAATAAATATATAAAAACCCCTACCATTTCACTATTTTTATTAGAATTATATATAATCCGATAAATAATAAATGTACTGTTTATAACATAACAATACATATGAATATATATTGCAAATAAAGTACACATAAAATAGTTAGCATGTAATAAGTATTGAATACGTATCGAGATAATATAAAAAATTTAATCTTCTTTTTAAGAAAAAGTACTTTTTACTAATTTCTTTGAATTACTTCTTTATGTGATAGTTAATATAAGAAAATAAATATGTATACTATATAAGACTGACGCGGACAATACAGAAAATAAAACGTTTGTGCATGAAAAAAGGTATTCATATATTTATTGATAATAAAGTCTTTAGTGTACATTATATATTATCAAAGATTTGTTCATACGTGTAATTAACACATTTTTGAAAATACTAGCTTTGTTTTTGCTTATAGTGTAATGTATTATATACACATTCCGTAACATCTATCGAAGATTCAAATTCAGTATCAGCATCTCAAATATTTATTAATAATATATCCAATATGGTATCGAAGTACTTTTTCAAATCTTACTGACCATGGCAGTTCATCTGCATAAATATATTTATAAACCAAAAGGTTAACATAAATCACAGTTCAAATTCTTACCACTGAACTATTGCTTCCAAGTAACTGACATTTCTCCCCCTTGAGTATTATCACGCTGTGGACTCTGTAACAGTATTAAAAAAATATTAACACTTTTTAATTTTTATCCTACCATAAAATTTAAATAGAATGAATATAATTACTTTAACTTGAATCTGTTGCTTCAACATCGCAGCCCTTAAGATTAACATGCGCGTACGTCTCTGATATTCTTTTCCGACGCTCATAGATTTCTCGAAAGTTGTACTACGTTGATCGACATCCTTTGCATATAGAATCTAAGTATACATAACAAATCAAATGAAAAAATGATTTTTCATAAAAATATTAACTAGCGATAGCAATAATTACCTTATTATGAGAATCTATACGAGCTTGTATCTGACCATCGAGAATTAATTGCATAAGCTCATCTTCCAATTCTGAAACTGTTCTGTTAAAAGCAGTTGCCATACGTCTCATATCTGCACTTAAGTATGGACTAAAATATTGTATTAACGCCCTATTCCGAATTTGTGTATATAAAACATTAACGTGTGGTGCTATGTACATATCCAGAAGTATATTATCCTTAATTTCGTCTAGCAATTTTAAGCAGGATGCATATTTCGACTCGTAAAATTTGAAAATGATATCTCTTAACTGTGGTTCCAATTCTAGAAACAACTTAAAGGAACTGCTAAAAATGACTTGTTTTTGTAATTCATGCCTGTCAAACGTTGCCAAAGCACAGAGTCCTCCATACAAAGCAACATTTCCAGGAGACAACAATTCAAGGCAATCGCAATGATCCAATGATGCTTGTAAAAAGTGTCTTGCAGCCATTTTGTATTTTCTAGTTGCTAGTTCTGCTAGACCAGCTGCAACTTTTAATTTTGTAACTATAGACTGATTGTTATCTTTGCCATGAACATCAGAAAAATCTGGTGTACTTTCTGCCTTTGTTACGTAGCTCAGTACATGAGCCCAATTTTGCAAATAAACGGAAACTTTAATAACATTTAGACACATATTAACAATATGTTTCCCACTAGTGCAATAATCCCTTGCTCTAGAATAACATTTTAAGGCATGGACGAGGTCCCCACAATCTAGATAATGATCTCCTAAATCGTCATGACCTCTTCTGATACTTTCTTTAATTGAATTACTTCTATAATTTTTAAGGTCTGTATCAAATTTCTCTAGTTTTAAAGCAGCCTTTTTTGAACGTGTTTCAACCCAAGCCTGGTCTAAAGTTAACATGTCTTGAGATGTTGACTGTGCTGCAACATCTGGCAATCCAGGTGTGCCTACAGCTTGCACTAATTTTTTGTGTAATATGACATACAAAGAAACATTATATGTTGTCATCACATACGATATAGCCATCTTAAGTGCTTCTATTCTTAACATTGGACAATGGTCAGCTATGTATATAAGCCTGTATAGTTTAGCAAGTCCATTGTAGCTATTGGCATAAACTTCCAAGTCCTGAAAAGAAGTAAAACCAAAAATTTTCATATTTACTTTGTAACATCAAAACTATATATACAAATTTCTAAAAATCATTAACAACTATCAAAGACAAGAGATTCAAAAGAGAATTATATTTACCAATGTTGGATTTTCCACAATATATGGTTCTTCTTCTGCATTATCATTATCTTCTGCAGGAGCATCAACTTGCATAGGCTCCACAACATTTTGCTACATATAAAAAACATCAACATATATTTTGTACAAAAATAAGTTCCTAGTTCGCAGTATCCCAAACGATAGAAATATAAAATACAAAGATAATAAAATTAAAAATAGATTTTAACGAACTGACATAATAATTGTAATATAGAAAAAAACATAACACGAAAACGAACAACATTTGAATTTGTCACGATTTTGCTGCCCCTGAATATTCTATTTACATGAACATTTACACTGTACATTGTTCTAAAATAATTACCTGAACATCGTGAACTTGTAACGGCATGACAAACGTTTTCTTTTATGTAAAATAGCCGAGAAACTCTGAAGCAAAACAAAACTTTATAACAGCAATGTAATGTGCAATAGAGAACCAAGTTATACACACATGTATCATGTATAGTTGATGCAGTGCAGGCAACTTGGAGCGATTAAACATTTTCCACTGTCATAATTTTATTTCGACAGATTCTGATTTGCATAAAATTCTAAAATTCGCTGATGTATGTTACTTTAAATAAATCAATAACAGTTAATTATCCTCCTACTTAAAATTGATGTATTTTAATAAATTTTAATTAACCTAAATATTTTGCTCTGATTTTGAAACAGTGAAATAGTTATTTGAAATAGTTACTATTATTTTACATCGCATTAATAATTCTTTACAACTACCATAACTCGTTTTTTGACATGACTGTGCAACGAACGAGCAACAAAAACTTATGTTCATTAGAAAAAATTTTTTTGGAGCATAGATAAAATGTTTGCATATAACGAAATACCTATTCGCGGTCTAAACTTTTAAATACTTATTACGTATTGATTAATCGTAAACACGAAACTGTATCTTTCACTGGATCAGATCGAATACTGTATAGATAGAATATATAAAATAACGAAAGAAGATTCTTGATAACTCGTCGGGAGCACATACATAATTAGTTTTATGACAGTATTTCCAGCGATAATAATAACGCTTTAATGTTTCATTAAAATATATAATATAATATTTTTGTATACTAAATACATTAATTGATGCTGTACATTATAAAACTTATGTATATTTGATTATATATTTAGTATTGTAATTTACATATTTTACATTAAATTAAATAATATACATTATTTTTTGTATGATTGTTCATTTCCTCCTATTTCATGGAACGTATCTTTCATCGACAAAAACAAAAGCTTGTATTGCGTTTACGCAATGCTAATCACGCGTATTATTTTCCGTGTCGATTATATATGAGCCCGTGAAAAATAAGAACCGTTGCTGATAAATATATTATTTCCATTCAGTATGGAAAATACACGTTCACGTGTGTCCAATATTTTGGTAATGGTGAAAATACACCTTTGAACGTTCCAAATATTTTACAGGGAATGCAAAAAGTATGGTGTGTGTGGTCGATACGATCGAACGGTAACGATTAAAATGAAACGTAGCTAAGCTACCTGGTTTCAGAAGACGCGTGATGTCTGTCTAGTAGTCGTGTCCAATATGGCGTATATACTGTGAATTGCATTAACGTGCAGGTAAGATTTGATTGAATCTTTCTTGATTTACATCAGACAAATAAATTAAAAAGTGAAAATTCGTACATTTTACAATGTTAATTTTTCAAGTTTCTGCATATTTTCATTAGCACACGATCAAACGGAGTATTAACGAAACATTTTTCTTAAAATATGTGAACCTTGTCAACCTTTGCACGTTCAAGGTCCGTTCGTTGAAGTATATTTATGATGACAGGTGTGTTATGTAGAAAATGTGTCCTTTCTATCAAATCGCTTTGTGAGAAAGTACGATTTTGGAACAGAAAATTGATTTACTGCGCGATAACGTCCGCCGTTGGCAACTGCCAGTCGGGTCTGAATAGATCGCCTCTATAATTGAGAAAATTGGAGCAAAAGTTACCAAAACGAATTTATAAATCGTATCGCCCGATTTTTCTTACCGATTATTTACGTTAGTTATAAAACTTGAGATTTTAAATAACATTCAAACTGTTTTTGTAATAGCACATGACAAGTATTTTGACATATTGGTGTACATACCACGAAAATGGAGCAAGTCCGATAAAACTTTTATTTTCAACAGATATAGAAATATGATTTTACTTATCTTTTAATAAGGATAAAATAGATTTAAAAAGTTATATAGATGTATATAAATATAATATAACAAATAAACACAGCACTATACCAAAACATGCGAGTGCCCTTAATTGATTGATAATTTAATCACTCCTGAAAGTGCATCTTTGTTATTATTACCTTATATAAATACCTTTTTAATTTTTTTAACAATGTTTAAAGTAACTTACGGTAAACTGACATAATTCTATAAATAAATAGATATAACTACAAAAAATTAAAAAAGTATAATTTTGTTTCTATAGGTTCTGGTCCTGCCTCTAGTGCAATTATTTTTTGTGGATAAAGGGAATGAGATAAATACTATAAATTTGTAGTAAAACAATGTACAATGAACTACGGTGGGAATATGCCAGATTGGCACCAATATAATGCCTCGCAGACAAATGAAGTCACACCTTCTGCACAAAATGTGAATTCTGGCCATCTTTCATACATTCCTGGTGCCAGTCCACCAACACTAAATGCAATTAGCCTTAGTTCAGAGGGTCTGAACAAGCATCAGAATGATGCAAATTACAATCCAAGAA